GTGTGGCGAAACTTCGCCTGGTGGGCGCCTCGTGGGCTACGTTGGTGCGGCGAAGTTTCGCAGCCCTGTGCGGCCGTGGGCGCACACGGACGGACTTTTTCGAGCCCTGCGCCACAAGATGGCACCCGAGGCCGCCAGCAGGCCCCACAAGTTCCAGGAGGCCCCCAAGAGGCCACATCAGGCCCCAAGAAGCCCCCAAGAGACCCTCGAGACATCCCCAAACCGAATCTAGGAGGCTCCCGAAAAACTTCCCAAGGAGTTCCCACAGGCATCCCAGAGGCGTTCGACCTACAAACCAGGCGCCGTGGCGGGATGTGCCTTCTCGCCTTTTCGGGCTCGCCAAGATCGCCCTAAGAGGCCCCCAGGAGGCCTGCAAGACGGCCCCAAAACAGCCCAAGAGGCCCCAAAGACGGCCCCGGGAGACTGCCCCAGAGACCTCCAAGACGGCGCTCCAGCGCCCCAAGAGGCACCCACAACAGACCTGGGACGGCCCCAAGGCCGCCTCTGAACGCCAAGAGGCCACCAAGACGCCCCATGCCAAGAGGGCTCCAAGAGGACCTGCAGGATGTCAACATCATTGATGCTCCTCAAGATGTTCGTCAATGATTTGAGCGTTTTCGCCTTGTCGGGCTTCCGACGCTCCAAAACGGGCCCATAAGCCCCCACGATCGCTCCAAGACGGCCAAAGAGTCCGTAAGACGGCCCAAGACCCGACACTGCACCTGGAGGCCAGGCTAAAAGGTTCCATCCGAAGAAGTCCCCAAGAAGGCCCCAAGAGGCCCCAGGAAGCCCCCGAAAGAAGCCCCCAAAAAGGCTCTCAGGAAGCCCCACCGGGGCCTCAAGAGAACCTCAAGAGGGCCTCGTCCTCTTCCTCCTCCTCCTCCTCCTCCTCCTCCTCCACCTCCTCCTCCTCCCTCTCCTCCTTTCCCTTCCTCTCCCCAGTGCCCCCCAAGGGATTCCACAACGGCTGCGGCAGCACCCGGTCCAAATCCAGAATCTCCAGTGAACCAGCAGGGCCCGACGCGCCCTTCTCGGGAGCGGCCAAGAGGGGGAGTTCCAAGAGGGGGGGGGTGCAAATCATGACCGGCGGCATGTGCGCGGCCAAGCGGGGGGGCCAGGGACGTAATGAAATAAGAAGAGGCGCCATGAAATCTGGGGAAAGATCGTAGCAATGCACACCAAAGCAAAGCCGACAAGACCGCCGCCGAAGCTCAGTTACCTTAGAAAGGAAGTACGATCCCCAACGAGCCAGCACTGTATGGGGAATTGGCTCTACTCAGCTCGGGCGGCGACGAGGTGGCGACGGCGGCCACATGGCGGCCAGAGCGGCACGCAGGCCCAAGCGACGGGCGGCGACGAGGCGGTGACGACGGCCACATGGCGGCCAGAGCGGCCCGCAGGCCCAGGCGACGGGCGGCGACGCGGCAGCGACGGCGGCCACATGGCGGCAAGAGCGGCCCGCAGGCCTGGCTCCTTAGTGAAGAAAGAAGAACCCTTGAGTGCAGAAACCGGTTTCAAGATAACAGAACAGACATACACATTCGGAAAGTGATTTCAGATTGCCATTGTGAAGTCTGCAACCCAGGGCAAGATATTCTGTTTGGTTGCAGGAAGGGCTTCGCGAGCGCATGCCATTTGGGAACGAAGTGCGCTCGCAGGCGCTAGCGTGCTGGACACTTGGGGCTCTCTGCACCATGGAACCCTGAGAGCACCCACGGCATTGGTGCCTGGCCAATTGGGAGACGGGGGGTGTATCTCTCGAGGGGCAGGGGTAAGACCAGGATGCCCAGGGCCCTGGCGGCTCAAGCCAGCCTCTTTGGCGCGAGATGGAAACAAGATTGGAGGTAGGTGGGACGCCGGGCAGCAAGCAAGGATGCAAGCACAGGTTCACCCTCCGCAGGCCATCCGGCAGCCTCCGCCGAGGGCGAGATGCCACTTGGGCAGGGACCGACCGTCCCGGCATTCCCGTAAGCCTACCACGACATGTTCTCAGAACAATTGAATATTCACACACAAGCAACCCTCCTAGAAAATAAGACCGATGTAGTAAAGCCAGCCAGTCTCAGCCAGAACTGCTACGAGGAAACTTCGTGCAAAGCACAAAAGTATCTCAGAACATTGGCTGGTGGGCCTATATAGGTCCGAGTAGATGGTGTCGGCGGATCGCGCTGCATCGCCGATAAATCGACGTTAAATCGCCGACGGATCGGCGATGCATCGGCGACGGCGGCGTGGAGAAATCCGGGCTCCACATCAAGCCGATCGGCGATGCATCGTCGATGCGGCGAGATCCTCCGACCCCATCTACTTCGACCCCACTGGGGAAGCCTAAACTCAGGTCGGGCATGTCCCCCTACATGCGGATTTGAAACGGAAAAAAACTCAAACAATGCTCCAAAATAGCAAAACAATCATGGAGCAATCGCCCCCATACTGTTTTTCGACTATTTGCGAATATGCGTCCTGTAGAGGGACAGGGACACGCCCGACTTCAGCCTAAACTAGTAGGCCAACCAATACGCCTCGCCATTGCTGAGCTGACATGCTGGCACCTTCCACCACATCATCATCATCATCAGCAGCAGCAGCATCATCATTATCATCATCACCATCATCAGCATCAGCATCATCATCATAAGCATCATGATCATCATATTCATCATCACCTCCACCTTCGCCATTATCACCAGTTCATCCATCTATCCTTGTCCTCCTTCTCCTTCTCCGTTCCTCCGCCCCTCCCCCGACGCCCCTCGGCGCTCTTGCTTGGACTGCGACATCATGCCCTCGATGTTGCTCTTCTTGGGCTGCAGCTCTACCTCGCAGCGCGCGCAAGTGGTGAGCGAGCGGCAGGAGTGGGCGGGCGCTGGGGTGGGAGGGCCCCAACTTCGGAGGCGACACGTGGGAGCCTCCGAAACCATACTGTTGGCTCTTGCGAGTCGACGCCGAGCGACGCTAATCGACGCTAGTCGGCGCTAAATCGACGCTCATCGACGCTTAATCGACGCTGGATCGGCGGTGTCTCATCGACTGGGAGAAGCGAATGGCGCGAATGCGCTCTAATCCACCTCATTCCGAAAGCCGTGCTTGCACTTAAAGGTTCTCACTTTTTGTTCGTTAAGGTATGAGACTGTCACTTTCTTTGAGCAGGGACCGACCGTCCTGGCATTCCTATAGTCCCACCACGAAATGTTCTTAGAACCCAGAGATGCTCTATGAACACAAACAGTGTCCTTAGAACACAAGCCCGATGTGATAAAACAAGACAGGCTCGGCCAGAAATGTTCTAAGAACATTTCGTGGAAACCAGAAAAGGTTCTTAGAACATTGCCTGGGTAGGGCTATAGGCGAGCCAGGACGCTTCGCCACTGCTTGATTTCTTTCGTTCAGACCTTGGTTGGGAATTCCAGATTTTCGCCAGGTTGCGAGCCCGTGCCGTCTCGTGGGCGCCTCGTGTGTGCCTCGCGCTTGAGGGCTATGCCGAGGTTGCACCGCGCTTGTCGGCGCACGGCCTCGTGAGCGCGCCGTGGGCGCCCGACATGGCCTGCACCGCACGGCTTGGACGGACCGGCCCGCACCACGCAGCTCAGGGCCTGGGCCCGCCCGGTGAGAGGGGCCCCCCGTGAGCGGACGGCGTGCTGCTCGCTCCGTGCGGCGGGCGGGCCGAGGGCCCGCCTGCCGAGGCCCCTGGCCGGGGGGAGGGGCCGCGGCGGGGCGGCAGGCCGCCGCGCGGATCCTCTGCGTGCGGGCGTCGTCAGGCACGCCCTCTGCGTGCCGAGGTGCGCCGTCGCGCGGGGGGCCCGCCTCCCCTGGCGAGCCGACAAGCATCGGCACGCAGAGCTCGCTGAGGCGCGCATGAGGACACACTGGTACGATGTGTCCTCCTTGGAGGCGTGCGTCCGACCTGAACATCTTGTAGCACGGTGAGGGCATCGGAAGAAGGAGCCCATGGATGAGGAACCCAGGGTCTGGCCGGTGGGCCTCCTATAGTTTCTCGAGCGGTGAAGCCAGGATGCGTCCGCCGCGACGCATCTACAATGAGAGTTCTTGGTGCGCGCGTCACCCCTGCAGGGGGGCGACGCACGCATAGTATTAGTATGTTGGGGTGACGCCGATGTTGCGTTGCTGCCAATCCAGATCGTTATCGCTGAAACCAACCTACACTCGCTGATGGCGTAGAGCAAACGGAAATGCACAATCATTGGGCCGTTGAAGTCTGGCCACCCATGGAACATCTAGGACTGAACGATGCGGTGTGGGATGCGGATGCTCGTTTTCTCAGCCGTCGGTCTGGACGCAAGGCCCAATGCAGAACTCACCTCGAAGGTGAGGGACCAGAGAGGGCAACATCCAGACCTCGCCACGGACAAACGTCGGGTGCGCCAGAGGTGGGCGGCCAGGAATAGAGGGGGGAGGGTAGCGAATCATGGCACGACGCACGTGCGGGGACAAAGGGGAGGGGCCGTGGGACATTCCGAAAGAGAAGAGGGCGACCCTGACATCGGGAAGATCTCACGGCACGGGCCACGGTGTCCCCCCCCGAGTACCCACGCACCTCTTCAACGCCCCCGAGCAGGAACAGTCGAATCGATCTGCCGCCTTGCCTGGCTGAGCCCACAAGCGGCAGCCTGGACACCAGTCAGTCGCTGGTCATCAAAAGGCCGACACTGCACTGGCAGCCCGTGCGAAGACGTCCGCGAAGGGCGCGCGTGCGTGCGGCCAGCTTTAAACATTTTAACGGAGTGAAATCGAGGAGCGTGCCCTGGAGACCTTCCGAATGTGGCTAGAGTTGGTGGGGTTGGGGGATCACGCCGCATAGCCGATGCATGGATGGAGAAGATCGAGCGCCGAATCGAGCCACGTTGGAGATGCATTGGCGGTGTGGCGCGATCCTCCGACCCCATCTCATCGGAACCCATGTGGGCAGGCTGGAAAGACCTGGGGACCTCGGCTGCGAGGTGCAACGCCGATGCCCGAACTCGTTCTCCCGGCAGGAGCTCTCAGGTCCAGATCTTGTTGAGCGCCGCTGCGAGGTCGCCGAGGCGCACATGCAGGCTCGCGGTGCTGTTCGCCTTGGTGCTGCTCACCTTGTCCATGAGGACCTGGGGGAACAGCAAGATGCCGATACCGATACCGCCTTTCCCCAGGTGGTAAGGCTCCGGGCTGCGCAAAGACAGGCGCCCCCCCCCCGGTAGCCCCAGGTGGCCTCAACAGGCTCCCCGAGCAGTCCCAGCTGGCCTCGACAGCCCCCCCCCCCCGGAGTCCAGGGCGGTCTCGGCACCCCGATCCTGGGGCGCGGACCGCCCGGAGGGCGCCGGCGCAGGCGGCGGCAGGGTGCGGAGAGCGCCCTGAACTACTCGGTAGGCCTGTCGAGGCCAGCTGGGACTGCTCGGGTGGCCTGCTGAGCCAAGCAGGGACTTCCCAGGCGGCGGGTCTGTGCGCAACCCTGGGCGTTACCATTCCCAAACCTCTCCCCCGGGGTGAACTCTGACGGGGACTCAAGGCGAACCTGAAGGCCAACACAGAAGTGACAGCGAAGGAAAGGGATTCAACATCGGTGTGCTTTCTCCTCCTCCTCCTCCTTCTCCTCCTCCTCCGGAACCCGATCTCCTCTTTGAATCGTTCCCTGGTCCTTCCCGTGGGCAACTTTTTTCGACCTGGGTCGACTTCCGAGAAGTCCTGGTGCCAGGGACGCGCACGCGCAGGCCGAAATTGAGAGAACACCTCTGGCGCACTTGTCTCTGCCTTCCTCCACAGACATCCCCTGAGATCTGGGCGGTGCAATTCTTCAACACTGGGCGTTTAAGCTTGTCTTCGGGCCTTGGGAGCATTGTGGATCGATCCAGCTCGAAAAATGCCGCAGAAAGAACATTGGGCCTAGGGCTCCATCAGTGAGTTGTGACGATGTCTCAATTCTTTCGAGACGTCGGATCTCAGAGGTCATACGATGCCTTGAATATGAACGGGGGGTATGGCGACCCCAATCCCCGACTTTCGACTGGTCCCGAAATGTTGGGCCCAACGCTGGGATAACCTCGGTAGGTCTTTCATACCCCAGTAGTGGGCAAATCACTATTTTTCTGGGGGAGGGCTGCCGGCAGCCAACGATCCTCGGCAGATAGTTCATCCGCCGCCGCCACCGTGGCCGTCGTCGTCGTCGTCGCGCGAGCGGAGGACGAGGAGAAGGGGAGGAGGAGAAGGATGAGGATGAGGATGAGGAGGAGCAGGATAAGTAGAAGGAGGAGGAGGCAGAGGAGGAGGAGGACAGTCCGAACCCGGGGACGCGCAGAGTATAATTGCCAGCCCAGAGTTTTGGGGGTGGGCGGGGCTCAGCAGGACGAAAGACCTCCTGAAACTATACGATGAGAGGGCGATTATCCCCGATAGGGGTGCGTCCGAATAGCCCACCCCCCGAAGGTGTCTTCCAGACTTTTCCCTCTTCTGAGCGATCTGCTTTCTCAGAGGCATCTCGGGGATTGGGGACGAATAGTCGTTTGTGATTTGTTGTTGAGAGCACGGAGGAAACGGGTCCTGAGGTAAACGAGTCCTGGACCCCGGGGCCTTCCCCCAAGACGACTTCCTCATCCTGGGTCGTTGTCTGACAGCCCGGGGCCTGTGGAGGGCCCCGAGAGCTCGAAAACGGCGAAAAGCTCTCATGACCCCCTTCCCTCGGGACGCATTTTCCCCATGGCGGCGGCTGAAGTCCCGACCCTTTCCACAGGGCCCGCCTCCCGTCACGAGTGTTTTTTTTGTTTAACGGGGGGGCCGAGGGCGGCCGCAGGACGCGGAACGACGTGAACAAGACTACGCCATGACTCTGTTCGAGACGTTGGACGTCTGGGCCCTCCTCCTCCACCACCTCCTCCTTGCCAGCTGGGGGGCGCTGAAGGTGCTACCCTTGAGTCGGGCGTGTCCCCCTACAGGCGGAGTTTGGACGGAGAAATAGGAAATAGTCAAAACGTACCCAAAAAGATGCTCACAAGTAGTAGACAAATCGTCCCCAGGCTAGGTTTTGATTACTTGGAAGGTTCCTCCTGTAGAGGGACACGCCCGGCTTAATGCTACCCCCCTGGAACCACGCAGCCAAGAAGCAGCAGCCCTCGTCGCGAGAGGGGCGGCGGGTGAAAGAAGCAGAGCGGGTCCCGAAGGCCCAGCAGGGCCTTGGGGCCGTTGCTCCTCCTCCTCCTTCTCCTCTTCTCCTCCTCCTCCTGCTGCTCCTCCTGCTCCTCCTCCTCCTCTCCTCCTCATCCTTCTCCTCCTCCTTCTCCCCCTCGCCTGAGATCTGACGTCCCAAAAGCCCTCGACCGAATCGTTTTGACGTTTTTGTCGAGTCGAACCGATCTGTGATGGTCCCGGGCCCGACACCCGGCTACAACGCCCGGTGTAAAAACTGCAACGTCAAGATCGCAGGGTCTGAGGAACCAAACGCTGCATCGACACAATTTGTCGGACGCCCGTTCGGAACTCCGAAGGTTGATGTGTATTCAGTTTTTCGCTATTCGACTGGGTCCTCTCCCTCCTCCGAAGAGAAAGACCAGCTTGTAGTCGAAAGGAGCCCCGATGCCGTAGTAGTAGAACGACTTGTACCGGCTCTGGGGCGCCTGCAGCGGGCGGCTGGCGGCCAACAACCCACACCGAGCCCCGCCAGGCCGGCCCTGTGCCCAAGCTCCGAGAATCATCCATACCCAGGGATCAAGTGCCTTCTTTTTCCCGGACGCTCTCAGATTTGCCAGCCAAGTCCAGAGAGCAAGTTCACCGAGAAACGCTGAACACACACACACACAGGCTCCTCCTCCTCCTCCTCCTCCTCCTCCTCCTCTTCCTCCTGCTGAGTGACTGGCCTGTACTGGCTGGTTCTCGTGTCCGTGAGATATTATGAGATCGCGGAAGTGCCGTCCACGAGGGCGCGCGCACACGCAGGTGACAAACCAGGCAGCAAGCTCGAGAGAACCCCTTGGGCACCCAACATGCACTGACTGGTTAGCGCTGGCTGGTCGGCGCGCGCACGCGTTGGAACACCGGGCCCCCGAAGTCCCGACCCCGGCCCCTGGGACCGCTGCTGCATCCCGAATCGTGCTGCTCGCGGCCCACGGGCAGGGAACTGATGGGAACTTCGGGCCCCCGCCGATCCTCCTCATCCTCCTCCTCCTCCTCCTCCTCCTCCTCCTCCTCCTCCTCCTCCTCCTCCTCCTCTCCTCCTCGTCCTCCCTCCTCCTCCTCCTCTCCTCCTCCTCCTGCTCCTCCTCCCCTCCTCCTGCTCCTCCTCCTCCTCCTCCTCCTCCTCCTCCTCCTCTTCCTGCTCCTCCTCCTCCTCCTCCTCCTCCTCCTCCTTGAGGTGCGCCGTCGGCACGGGCCTCCGCGGGTCTCGGGCCCCGGGAGACCGACAGAGCTCTCCGCGGGTCCCAGAGGAGGGCTCAGGACAGAAGACCCTGCAGAATCGCCCGCAAGCCGGACATGTTCAGCATCCTTCTGAAACTGACCTCAACTCTCGAATCTCGAGACGCGGCCATCCTCCAGCCTCTCCTCCTCCTGCTTCCAGCCCGGGTCGGTAGACCTTTGCAGGGTGTGCCCTGGGGCGTCCCCTGGAGGCCTGGTTGGCGCCTGGGGGGATGAAGGGCGTGGACTGCACGAACTCGATGATGTGGGTGTTGCACCCGGGGGGGAGGTAGAGGAGGTTGGCCATCGCCCCACCTGGGACGGGAGCCGCATGTACAGTCGGGAACTTTTGCTCAGCGTGTCGCGGCACGGCGACACGCTACGCCTTGCGAGTGCATAATTAGCGCGTCGCTCCGCTTCGCGGGGCGGGAGGCTCGGAAAAGATCGGGACGTTCCCAGACATGCGACGTCCTGGAAAACCCTGGAAATCCCAACCCTTCCCTCGGAACCGCTTTTTCATCCTGAGTCGTTCTTTCACGGTCCCGAGGCCCGGCGAGGGCCCCCCGAGGCCGAAATTGGCCAAAACCCTCCCGTCCTGGGTTGGGAGCCTTGAGTGGTACAGTGCGGGCGCGGCCGCCAGAAACCCTCGCAAGAAACCCAATCCTGAAAACCCGCGCGCGAGGTGCACCGGAGGGGAAACCGGGAGCACCCCGAACGCAGCAGCTCCTCCAGCGGCTGCGGGAAGTCACCGCGCAGCGCGCGGAGCGCAGAAGCCCAGGATACCCCGACGAAAAGCACATGGCGTCTTGAGGCGCGCCCCCACTGTATGTGAAGGGGCCCAAGGACACACAAACAAATACACACACATAAAAAGATCCCCCATATGTTCCCATATCTTCTGGGTTTTTGTCTTCCCGCCCGCTTCCCATATTTTCCCATGTTTTCAGGGGAATCGTCGATGACTTGTGCCTGTGTGTTTTTTCCTCTCCTGATGTACGGCGTGCCGCGCCGCGGCGTGGCTTGGCCAGAGCGGGGCGGAGAGCGACGCGCCGGGCCGGAGCTCTCGGCCGTGAGTGCACCAAGGCGCGCGCGAGCCTCAACCCGACCCGCTGCGCACGTGCTGTGCCGAGCGGCTCACGCTCGCGGGCGAAGGATTGCAAAAAAAAACCGAAGGATTGCAAAAAAAAACCGAAGGGTTTTTTTGCAATCCTTAATCCAGGGTTTTTTTGCAATCCTAGGTTTTTTTGCAATCCTTCGTTTTTTTGCAATCCTTCGCTCGGAAGAGTGCCGGTATAAACGGTACAACATAAACTTTTTCGCTGTCGGGGGCGCCTGTCCCTGGGCGGCTGGGACGCTTATACCCCTACGGTGCCACCGTCAGGGTATAAACTTTCCAGCCGCCCTGGGACAGGCGCCCCCGACAGCGAAAACAATTGTTTTTATACCGTTTAGACTAAACTGTGCGCTGAGGTGGTTCCAGAGAGCCCAGGGTCGCATCGATTAGTCGAGTCGGCGATGGGCATGAATCGGATCGGCGGAACAATCGGCAGCCGAGTCGGGTAAATTCGAATCGGCAGACATCGGCAGGCTAGAGGGCCCCCATTGAGAACTCGGATCCCAGATCGGGATCCGATGTCGAATCGAATCGGAATCGGAATCTATCGAAATCGAATCGAATGGCATCGGAAGAATCGAAACGAGCCCTTTGGTTGCGCACATCGTGTCGTGGTCGTGCGTCTGGCTGCAATGGGAGCGCACACATCGGATACCGGCACAAGCATAACCTGTTGGAGGTCCGCGCAGGTCTCCCGGGCCGGCGCTGGATCCTCCTGGCGGCGCCTCTGGCGCCGCCCCCGGCGCGCTCCGCGCGCTGAGCAAGGGTTGCAACGACGATCCAAAGAATGCACTCGGACCTCCGAAAAATAATGTTGACGCATATGTTTGGTTTTCGACCCTCCGTGGTCGACTTCAAAGCGGGCCGCAGCGTCACCGAGTCGGAATCGAGCTGAATCCCCTGTGCCAAAATGCATGCGTCGGACCGCATCGGACCGTCGAAATATGGAAATCGAATCGGGCCGGCCGAAAACGATATTGAATTTGATCGATCAGATCGACATGGTCCCTGGCCCCTGGCCCCAAGCGAACACCAGGATGGATGCAAGAGACACCCCACCGCCTCACCTTGCCTGTCGCTTACCAATATATCGTTCAAGATGCATGGAACGTGTGCCACTTATCCTCGCTATTGCACAAGCATTCCAAATGGGTCCGATAAATACAGAGTCGGAGGATTGCGCCGCATCGCCGATGTGTATCGATCCGACCTCATCTAATCCAGTCCCATGTGAGAGGCCTCGATATTGAAGGCGGATGAGAAGGAATAGACAGAGAGAGAGAGAAGTAATCCAAACCTCCGATGTCGCGTTTTTGAAATATCGGGCCTCCCAGAAGACCCGACCCATTCCCCGTTGCCAGGGTTTCATCCTGGGCCAATGGATGACGGTCGCCATGGAGACCGAACCAGTCCATCGAAAGCAAGAGTCAGGGACAAACGCTAATATAGTCAGGGGGGCCCTTACTAGGCCGTTGAAGGCTCAACGTTCTCTTGTGGGACGCACAGAGACATACTAATACTATATGTCCGCCTTGGAGGCGCGCGTCCGACCCGAGAATATAGTATACAGTATACCCATCTTGTAGTATATCGTTTCTCGAGCGGTGTGGCCAGAAAGCGCCCGCCACGACGCATATACTATAAGATTTCTCGGTGCGCGCCTGTGGCGGGCGACGAACATATTGTATAAGTATGTTGGGGTGACGGCGATCTTGCTGTAATGGGAGCAAACGGTGAAAACAAATTCTGGGGCGGACAATCTAAAAATGATTTCGCCGGCCTGGTTGCTCCCACAATGCAACAGGGGAGGGGCGGAGCCGGCCGACGAAGGGCGGACAATGCCGGGCTGTCTGGGGGGGCCAGGGGGGGGGGCCACGAGGCCGCCGAAAGCTTGCGAATCATACCCTCGAAGCATGAGATGTCTTGACCTCCTCCTCCTCCACCTCCCCCTCTTCCTCCTCCTTGTCCTCCTCCTCCTTCTCCGCTTCCTCCTCCTCCTCCTCCTCCTCCTCCTCCTCGTCCTCCTCTTCGTCGCCATCCTCCTCCTCTTCCTCGTCCTCCATCTCCTCCTCCTCCTCCTCCTCCTTCTCCTCCTCCTCCTCCTCCAACTCCTACTCCTATTCCTACTCCTCCTCCCCCCCCTCTTCCTCCTTCTCCTCCTCCTCCTCCTCCTCCTCTTCCTCCTCCTCCTCCTCCTCCTCTCCCTCCTCCTTCTCCTCTTCCCAAGTCGCCGCGGTCGTCCGCGAGGGCGATTGCGCCAACCAGAAGGACTTACGACGACGAAAACGACGACAACGACGATGACGAGGATGAGGACGAGCGGCGACGACGGACGACGACGGCGACGACGCTGACGACGACGACGACGCACTGCAGATGCCCAATGGGGGTGGGGGGGTGTTGCGCAGGCCGGCTCAGGCCGGCTGTAGTCGACGACGACGATCACTGCGGATGCCCTATGGGGGGTGGGGAGTGGAGGGTGCTGCATAAGCCCGCTGTAGTCGACGACAGCGACGACGACGACGACGAGGACGACGACCACGACGGCGCGATCGACGACCGACGACGACGACAGCGACGACGAAGACCGACGACGAGGACGAAAATGAGGACGAGGACGAGGAAGACAATGACGAACAACGACAGCGACCGACGACGACGACGCACGACGGATGCCTCATGGGTGGGCTGCTGCACAGGCCCGCTTTCGTCGACGACGCCAACGACACCGATGATGACGACGACGACGAGGACGAGGACAAGGACGAGGGCGACGACGACGACGACGGAAGACGACAACGACGCACTGCGGATGCACCTGGCGAACGACGACGACGGAAGACGACGACGACGACGAGGCCCAGAACCTGGCGAAAACACCTGTGGCGAAAACGTTGGGAAGGGCGCAATCCACTCCATAGGAGAGGGTGTGAAAACAGAGGGCCCCCCACCCCGAAAAAAATCCTAGGGTTAGGTCGGGCGTGTCCTCCTACAGGCGGATTTTGAATTGGGGGGGGAAACAAAAAATCAAACAACTCAAACTGTGTCGAATGACGATTTCTTAAAGCCATTCCTGAATATTCCTCCCGTGGAAGGACATGCCCGACTTAATCCTAAGGGGGGGGTCAAGAACAATAAGACCCCCCCCCCCGCAAAGAACCGGGAGGTCTAGGGGACCCTCCCCCCCCCACCCCCCTGGGAGGGACAGTGGTTCGGACAGGCCCCTCCCCGCCGTCCCCACGAACGATTCGAGGAGTCCAAAGGCCCAACCCCCCCCCCTTGGGGCAACGACGACGAAGACGACGACGTCGCAGCCGACGCTGGCAAACGACGCGGACGACGACGACGACGACGACGACGACGACGACGACGACGACGCCCCCACGACCCTTACGACAACGACGCCGTCGACGCCGACAATTATCGTGGGATCGTACATGGACTCTATCCACATGTATTAACCCAGCGATTAAGAACCCCTCCTGCGTGATCGTTAGCATCGAAACAAACTTAACAATTCGCGGGGACGGATTTAGCATAGCGGTATGTTTAGCACAGCACCGAACCGCACGCTTAAAACATATTCCCAGTCCCCGCGACCGACATCGATTCCTCCTCTTCATCCCTCTTCATCCTTCTTTTCCTTCTCCTCCTCCTCTTCCTCCTCCTCCTCATTCTCCCCTCCCCTCCTCCTCCTCAGGGTGCCAAGACCACGCTTCCAGCCGCTGGGTGCGTTATCGCTTCACCAGAACGGGAGGGGGGAGGAGGGGGGTTCAGAATCGCTTCATGGGGTTGAAATCATGCTACTGGGCTGGATCCAGCTTTACGAATAACAAACACCTATGACGGTTCGATGAACTTCAAGTAGGCTTCCACAAGAATTCGGTCCAGGTCTAACAGGATCCGACTAGGGCACCACCCACCTTGAACACCATCTGTCTAGGGGTCGGTCCAGCTCTAGTAGAATCCTACTCGGGCTCGACCCAGTGCTGATGGCTCCTACCAGTGCTGGCTCCAGCACTTATTGAATCCCATAAGGGCTCAATCCAGCTTCACTCGCATCACACCAGGTTTCAATCCAGCTCTAATGGAATCCTACTACGGCTGGGTCCAACTCTAGTAGAGCCATGTCGGGCCAAGTCTAAATGATTTCTACCAAAACTCGGCCCAGCATTACCGCAACATCTTGATAGACTTGGATCTAGTTTGAATATATAGTCCTACTCGGACTCGGTGAATGTTGGATTTAGGGCTGGAGCCACCTCTTCCCACAGAATCCGACTAGGGTCCAATTTAGCTTCAATCGCATCCCACTAGGGCTCGATCGTTGCCGTCGTCAGCGTCATCGTAGGGGTCATCGTCGTCCCTGTCGTTGTCTTCAACTTCGTCGTCATCGTCGCTGTCGTCGTCATCGTCGTCGTCGATGTCGTTGTCGCCATCGTCGTCGTCGTCGCTACTATCGCTATCGCTATCGCTATCGTCGTCGTCGTCGTCGGCGTCGGCGTCGGCGTCGGCGTCGGCCTCGGCGCCAGCGTCGGCGTCGGCGTCGGCTCGGCGTCCGTCGTCGTCGTCGTCGTCGTCGTCGTCGTCGTCGTCGTCGTCGTCGTCGTCGTCCTTTTGATCGTTGTACGTGGTGCGTCGTGCATCGTCGTGCGTCGCGTCGTTGTGGTCGTCGTTGTCATAGTCATTGTCGTCGTCATCGACCGCGTCGCTTACTGGCGGCTGCGACGTCGTCTCGTCGGCGTCGGCGTCGTCGTCGTCGTTGCCCGGGGTGGGGGAGGTTTGGACCTCTCGAATAATTTTCCCGGGGGGGTCTGGACACACCGAATCGTTTGTCCGAGGGGGCGGTGGAGGGGGGGTGCTGGACCCCCCCGACTAGTTTTCCCGAGGAGTCTGGACCCTCCCATCCCCCTCTCGTTTTGGGGTGGGGAGCTGCTTCCCTCACCCCCCCACCCCCTGCAAGCAGCGGCACGAAGCGCTCACTCAAACGTAGCAACGCCCACATCTGAGGGCAGGAGATGGGAGGTCCAATTCGAATTCCCCGAATGGTGTCCGGGGCGTTGACAGTCGAGTCAGTATGCAAAAACGTGTTGGATCATCGAAACGTGAACCAGAAATCCCGAACCACCGCTTCATGATTCCAAACGGTGGTCAGACCTACAGTGCGGGCGCGGCCGCAAGAAACCCTCGCAAGAAACCCAACCCTGAGAACCCGCGCGCGAGGTGCACCAGAGGGGAAACCCAGCTGCTTCAACGGCAACGGGAAGTCGCCGCGCAGCGCGAGGAGGCAAGAAACCCTGGGTACCCTGACGAACAGCATCTGGTTTCTTGATGCGTGCCCACACTGTAGACTGTGAAGTAGCGGTGGAGCGTCTTTGGGGCAGTGCGTGACTGCGGAACCAGGCAGCAGCAGCCACCCATCGCGCAGAGCACCAAGTATCCTTCCATCCCGAACCAACAGGGGAGAGGGAGGGAGGAGACGGACCCAGACCCCCCGACGTCATGATCTGTCATAACGCTGGGTCGGGCCTGTCCGCATACATGGGGATTTGGGACGGAAAATAAAAAGAAATACCCCAAAATATTGAAAAACATATTTTTGACTGTTCTTGAATATTCCTCACAGAATACTGAGCCGATCCTGGAACCCTCTAAAATACCCTCTCAAAAATGCCCTCTCAAAAATACCCTCGAAAAAAATACCCTCTCAAAAATACGAACAATCGTCCCCGTACAAATGTTTGACTATCTCGTTGCAAATTTTGACTATTTTTGAATATGTTTGAATATTCCTCCTGTGGAGGGACAAGCCCGACTTGACCATAACGCCGGCCCCACGGGTCTCGACCCGTGCCCCGGCGGGACCGGTTCCTCGTCCTGCGTCGTGCTGTGCGGCGGCCCCGAGGCCTGGGCGGAGGGCCCCCCCGGGGCCCGAAGACGGAATCGACGACCCTCGGTCGTGATTGTTTGCGGGTCGATGGGGGTCTGGGGATGGATGATGGGCCTGTTTTCCACCACCACCACCATGAGTTGGAGGGGGGGGTCCTCCTCCTCCTCCTCCTCCTCCTCCTCCTCCTCCTCTCCTCCTCCTCCTCCTCCTCCTCCTCCTCCTCCTCCCTCCTCCTCCTCCTCCTCCCTCCTCCTCCTCCCCCCCCTCCCCCTCCAACTATGGTGCTGGTGGTGGTGGAAAACAGGCCCATCAATGGAGAGGGGCAACGGACGGAGGGACCCACCGTGCGGGCCGATGACCGCAGTCGCCCGGCTGAGCGCGGCGGCTTGGACCTCGGGCTGCCCGGCGTCGCCGCAGAAGCGCACGAGCTGCTCCGGCCGCCCCTCTGCAGAGGGGGGACCGCTGCGCCGTCACCGCTGCCAACCCACGACGTCGACGACTACGCGGACGACGGACGACCTCGACCTCCTCCTCCTCCTCCTCCTCCTCCTCCTCCTCCTCCTCCTCCTCCTCCTCCTCCTCCTCCTCCTCTCCCTCCTCCTCCTCCCTCCTCCCTCCTCCCTCCTCCCTCCTCCTCCTCCTCCTCCTCCTCCTCCTCCTCCTCCTCCTCGTCCTCCTCCTCCTCCTCCTCCTCCTCCTCCTCCTCCTCCTCTCCGCGGTGCGTCACGTGCTGCAGATGCCCCACGGGGGGGAGAAGGGGTGCCGCGAGAGCCCGGCTCAAAAAGAAAATAGGCTCATAGCCGGCTCACCATCAGAAGAGGCATCGTATCCTCATCGCAGGCACGCATGCGCCCCATGCGTAGCAACATGCTCTCCCCTCGCGCCTTGAACGAGTCCAAAGACGCATGTATCTATCTGTTTGCTCCTCCGACTTTCGGCTTCTATCGGCCCTCACTGGCCCCAGAGTCCGTGACGAAACTACCAGGGATACAAATCCGATCCCGCGGAATAGGTCCAATCCTCTGGAACCACGTTCCCGCATCTCCGACGGTACGATTGCTTCAATCCCGGCATTGTTCCTCGATTTCGGCCTGGGGGAGCCCGGCATTGTATCTGCAGGAACTCAGAAATAAGATTGGGCCAAACAACTGGCCCCGGGGAATGGGTCAAGCCTTGACACACATATCGGAGGATGTCTGGAGTCGAGGAGTTCCCGATCGAGGTTCTGCATGATCATCATGATCATCATGATGATGATCATCATCATCATCATCATCATCATCACCAGAATCATCGTCAGCATCACCATCACCATCATCATCATCATCATCATCACCATCATCATCATCATCATCATCATCATCATCATCATCAGCGTCAGCATCATCATCAGCATCATCACCGATACCACCATCATCATCATAATCATCATCAGCAATACCATCATCACCATCATAATCAACATCAGCATGATCATCACCATCGTCATCAGCATCATCATCAGCTGCAGCATCGTCGTCATCATCATCAACGTCACCATCACCATGACCATCACCGTCTTCATCATCACCATCATCATCATAATCACCATCATCGTCGCCATCACCATCCGCATCATCGTCGTCATCATCGACATCAGCATCAGCACAAGCATCATAACATCATCATCGGCATCATCATCACTAACATCATCACTATCATCAGCATCAACATCACCGCCATCACCACCACCATCACCACCACCACCACCGTCATCATCATAAGCATCATAATCATCAACATCAGCATCATCATCATTATCAACATCATTTTGATCATCCTTATCAGCATCATCATCATCACTATCATCAATATCATCATCAGCATCATCATCACGACCACCACCATCACCACCACCATCATCATCACTATCACCATCATAATCACCATCACCATCACCACCACCATCACCATCACCATCACCATCATCAACATCATCATCATCAACGTCATCATCATGACTGGTTGACCAGGTGACTGGGTGTCCGAGAGACCGGCTAACCAGGTAACTGGCTGACCAGGTCATCGGCTAACGGGCCGACCGGCTAATCGGGTGACCCCGAGATCCTGGCGATTCATTTTCTTCGAGCCAGGCGTTTTCGTCACATGTCTGGCCGCAAGGCCCTTATGGGGTTGACCGGCTGACTGGTTCACCGACTGACTAGCTGACCGGCTGACTGGGGGACTGGCGCAACCACAATTCTGCGACCACGGGGGCGGGCGGGAACGATCCCTTTCACGAGGCTTTCGCGAGGCTCCCTGGCGTATCCATCCAGCGGAGGTGGGGGTTCGATCCCTTGGCATTGGGGGAGAAGAAGGGGGGGCAATCCTGGATCATCTACGCCCATGAGGCCTTCGGGACTTTGCTGCTGCTGATGATGATGGTGCTGATAATGACGATTATGATGATGGTGATGATGATAATGATGGTGATGATGATTATGATGATGCTGGTGCTGATGATCAGGATAAGGATCTGCAGTATGCTGATAATCATGGTGATGATGATGACGATGATGACGATGATGGTGATGGGGATGCTGATGATGATGCTGATGATGATTGTGACTTTGTTGGTGATAGTTGACGATGCTTCTGATGGCGTTGATTATGATGGTGGTGATGATGATGATTGTGCTGGCGGTGTTGACGATGACGGTGATGATGGTGGTGATGGGGAGGAGGATGAGGATGCGGCTGGTGGTGCTGGTGATGGTGATGCTGATAATGATGCTGATGATGACGGTTGTGATCATGACTAAGCAGATCATGATGAGGGTGACGATGATGATGATGATGATGATGATGATGATGATGATGATGATGATGATGATGACGATGTTCACCGGTCTACTCGTCTACCGGTCCACTGGCGCACCTGTCCAGCAGAAGATGATCAGTATAGGCAGGTGCGAGAAAAAACTTTGAGGACGAAGATCAGGAGAATCAGGACCACGAGGTCCGCACGATGACGACCGTGAGGAGGAGGAGGAGAAGGAGGAGGAGGAGGATCACGTGGAGGACGACATTCAGGACGATGAGGATCAGGGCCATGAGGAGCAGGAGGCTGAGGACGAGGATTATGAGGATCAGGACACGGAGGATCAGGATGAGGAGCGTCGGGAGGGTGGATCAGGAGGAGAACCACTACCAGGATCAATAACAGGGAGATGATGAGGATGTCGATGGGGCTGTTCAGAAAGAGGATCAGGGTGAGCAGCATCAGGATGAGGATGTTCAGGTTGAGGGGGATGATGATCAGGGGGAGTGGAATCAGGATCAGGATCACGATGATGAGGAGGATCAGAATGAAGAGAATCAATGATACAAATATCAATCTGATTAGGAGGACGAGAAAGATCAGGACGATAAGGAATCAAATGATGAGGATCACAAAGATGAGGCTCTACTGGTCAGCCAGTCAATTGGTCAACCGGTCTGCCGGTCAGCTTGGTCTGCCAGTCAGCGGGTCAGCCCTGGCATGCGCGGCGCACCTTGTGGGCATCGCCCACCTGGCTGGCGTCTGCATTTGTTCCCGATGGTTGTCGATGGCGGCCCCCGTGCCTGTTGAGGATCGGGTGCCACTTATGTGCTGGGAGGGCGGGCGGGAGTGAACGAGACGTCCGCCTTGCATGGGCTTGCTAGGGATGGCCGGGGTGCGGGCGCAGTCCCGTGCTGCGCGAAGGCCAACCATGCTTTTCAATAAACAATACAGAGTGCGCTTTGCGACGTCTTTGGATCATGCGCGGACCCTCCGCGATCGCTTTGGTTGCTGACGACATTCTCTTTGTGCTCTTCCAGGGGGCGCTCTGTTCTCTGAGCTTTCATGTGTCCCACAGTTCTTCAAGACGCCCTGGAGGAGCCGCCCTTCTCACAGGATGATCGGCATCTCGCTTCAGGGGGGTTCAAGACCATGAATCCCTTGGGGCCGGGACCCAAGGCACCGGGGTGTGCTTTGGTTCCCCGCACCCATCCATCCGATGACGGCAGTTCTGTGGCACGCCTGGGACACTCTACACGCGCCGCGCGCGTGACGCACCTGGCGCGGGTGGAGCACGTGGCACACCTGGCGGACGTGGAGCACTTGGAGCACCTGACGCGCCTGGTACGGTTTGGCCTCCGGGGTGCCCAGTGCACCTGGCGCCAGTGGCGCACGTAGCATGCGTGGCGTTCCCAAGCGAAATGCTGAGACTCGGGGGCTACTTCTGCGTTGGGAGGGCAGGTGCGAGCGAGCCAATGAATTTGCGTCTGGGAGGGGTGTCTTGATCACTGCCCCCGACAAGTGCCCCCCCCCCCCCCTCCCCCGCCCGAATGGCACCCCACCCGGAACCATGAGCCCACCCACCCCAAGCTCCCTGTCAGAAACCAACACAAGTACTCTCTGCCCCTCAGTCTGGAGCAAGCGCGAGCGCCCCGCGACAACGTCGCATCGGTTTTTGATGGGGACGGTGGGGGGTGCTGGTAGATTGCCTGCTTGGGTACCATGCCAATCCCCCCCTCGCCATCCCTGTCTCGCCATCCCTGTCAGCAAACAGCGCGAAGCACACCTTGCGGCAGCATCTGAGGTCATGCTGGGGGGGGCCCGCGGGCACGTTGTATAGTTTCGACAGGGACGGCAGGGGTGCCAGCACACTGCTGGCTGTGCGCAGATCCACCATCCACGTCGAAAACAATACAGACAGCACGTCTCGGCTATTTGTGGATCATGCGCGGGCACCCCTCGATCACTTTGCCTTGGTTGCTGACGGGGGTGCCCTGGTGCTACTTCTGTGTTGGGAGGGCGGGTGGGAGCGAGCGAGACGGCTTGCGCCTTGTGAGCAGGATGTTTCTTGACCCCTCCCCCCGTCCCCTCCCATTGGGACTGAACAGGGCGCCCCGCGAGCGGCTCGAGCGCTCGGGCTGGCACAAGACAGAGGGCCCCCGAGCACCTAAGATGGCCAGGGTGATGGCTCCAGATAGCGCAAGATGAAAACCATCCCCGAAGTCAACGAGGAACGGTACTTTGCCAATCAAACTTATTTGCTGAATGAACAACGTTTTTGGATCTCGTCTTCGTCGCCAGTGAGGATCGAAGCTTTGACGGTCGAAACTCTGCGGAGTTTAGAATATTTGTGGACGTCGACTCCGTCGTCGACACGGGTCGTACTCCGACGATCGAGGCGTTGCGGAATCCAAGACGTTTTGAACGTCGTCCTGGTCGTCGGCGAGGATCGAGACATTGACAATCGGGGTTTTTGGAACGCTTGTGCACCTCGTCCTCGTCGTCGGCCAAGACCGTTACGGAGCTGATCGAACTTTGAAGGGGTGCAACGTGTTTGAACGCGTCTCCGGCGTTGAGGACGGAAGCTTTGACAATCGAGGTGTTGCAGAGCTTGGATCTGTTCCTTTTTAATCAACACAACTATGATGACAAGCCGACGCCCTGATTTTTCATGTGCGACTTCCCGAGATATCCCATCCGCTTCCCTGAAGCCGGTTTGTCGTCCTGGGTCGTTTCCTGGCAACGCCCCCCCTGGACCTCGGAAGCCGCGGACAAAAACTGCGCGAGTTGTTGAAGAATTCGGAGGGATGGGGTTTCAAGCCTTCTGCTCCATCGTCTTCTGCACCATCTTGAATGCGTTGTCCTGGTCGGCTTCGCGCGACGGCGACGACGACGACCCCAACCTCTTCTCGGGCGCGTTATGACAAAACTCTCGAGGCGGACCCAGCGGTGGCAACGGAGGCCCAAATAGGGTCTCACCAAAAGACTTCGTTCCTCGGTCATCAGAATACTCATAATATGAATGGTTGCCAACGACGGCGACGATGTGCACCATCTTGACAGAGTCAACTCATCCAGAACTCACACAGGCATACACCGTCGGAGGTCCGCGCGGGTCACGTGGGCCGCCGCTGGATGGCCCCCTCTCGTGCAGTGCCCAACCAACGACCAACGCGTGCATGGAGGGGGCTCGCTCCCTCCTCCGCCCCCTCCTCTCCGGTCGGAAGACAGGCAAGGGCTTGCAAAAGGGGGGTTCGCGAATCAGCTGCGCAGCTGGCTTTCCCTGAGCCTCCCAGCGCTGGAGGCGCGCCCATGCATCCAGGAAAGCGCCAAGCGGCGGGGCCGAAGCCAGTTGCATGCAGCAGATCTGGCACCCCACCTTTCCCAATCCATCATTTCCTCCGCCACATCCTCCTACTGCTTCTCCTATTATTATTTTCCTCTTCACCTCCTCCTCCTCCTCCTCCACTTCCTCCGCCGCCCTCAAAAACCAGATGTCTGTATGTTTTTATGTATGGTGACCCTGAAACAAAAACCCGACTCTTCTCTCCCCAGAGCAAGCGTTTCATCCTGAGCCGTTTTTGATGGCACCTCGAGGCCCGAAGCTAGCCCCTCGACTAACATAACTGGATGCACAACCCCGTCTTATGTTTCAAGACGTCAGATGTCTGGGTCCTCCCCAAGCAGCCTATACTTTTGTGTCCGTACCAATGTCTGTCACTCGACCTGAATATATAACAACATATGTGTATGCGCACAGACATGTATGTATATACACTGGAATCACGAGCGCACTTCGCGCGCGCTTCGGTTCTACCATGCTCGAGTTGTAGTCTAGACGTATTCGGCATCGGAGGTCATAGATTGTCACACGGGTCGTGCCCCCTCAGGGAGCTTCACCTGCGGCCCCAGAGACAAGCTTGGTTTGGCGTCCCCCCGCCCACGCCGGCACACCCCTCACAGGGACCGCGCCCCGAAACAAGGTTCGCAGAACGGCACGCCCCTCGGGCGGATCGGGCCATGCAAGTAACTGCATTGTGTGGCACCAGACGGGAGCTTCATTCCGCATGCGGCCTCGCCGAACGATCGGCGATAGGCCCCCGATGGTGAATCCGTACGTTCCTGGGCAGGTTGGGGCTATCGAGCCCCTATCGGCGATCAATTTGCGATTGGGGTTCGATGCATCTACCCCTACGCATGCCGCATGCCTATCCCCCCCCACGGTTGCCCCCGAAAATCGAGGGAGGGGCGACGCCTCCTCCTCCTCCTCCTCCTCCTCCTCCTCCTCCTCCTCCTCCTCCTCCTCCCCCTCCTCCCCCTCCTCCTCCTCTTCCTCCTCCTCCTCCTCCTCCTCCTCCTCCTCCTCCTCCTCCTCCTCCTCCTCCTCCTCCTCCTCCTCCTCCTTCCCTCCTCCTCCTCCTCCTCCTCCTCCTCCTCCTCCTCCTCCTCCTCCTCCTCCTCTCCTCCTCCTCCTCCTCCTCCTCCTCCTCCTCCTCCTCCTCCTCCTCCTCCTCCTCCTCCTCTCCTCCTCCTCCTCCTCCTCCTCCTCCTCCTCCTCCTCCTCCCTCCTCCTCCCTCCTCCTCCTCCTCCTCCTCCTCCTCCTCCTCCTCCTCCTCCTCCTCCTCCTCCTCCTCCTACTCCTCCTCATCCCCCTCCTCCTCCACCCCCCTGGCACTGCCCGAGGCCCGCCGCCCGAGGTCCTCGTTGTCCATCGCCCGGGCGGAGGCGCCACACCGCCCCAGGAACACGACGGCGGGGAGCCTCGACGAGCTCCTGCTCCAGCGGGGGCGCGGGGTGCCCAGGCTCCGCCTCCGCCGCCTCCCTGGTCCGCCTCCTGCTGTTCCGCCCTCCTCCTCCTCCTCCTCCTTCTCCTCTTCCTCCTCCTCTTCCTTCTCCTCATCCCCCTCCTCGGCCTCAAGCTCCCTCTCTTCATCCATCCTCCTCCTCCTCCACCTCTCCATCCTCCTCTTCCTCGCCTTCTCCCTCCTCCTCCTCCTTTTCCTCCTCCTCTTCCTCCTCCTCCTCCTCCTCCTCCTCTTCCTCCTCCTCCTCCTCCCTCTCTACATCGTCATCCTCCTCATCATCCTCCCCTTCCCACTCTACATCATCCTTTCCGTCCTCCTCCTCCTCCTCCGTCCTAGGGCCTTCCCCTTCTCCTCCCTCGTCCTATTCCTTCTCCTCTTCCCCCCATCCTACACCACAACATCTTTCCCATGTTCCTCTTCCCCTGTCTCATACTCCTCTTCCTCTTCCTCTTCCTCATCCCCCCCATCCTCCTCCACCTCCCTCCACTCCCTCCTCATCCCCCTCCTCATCAAATTTTTCTCGACCCCCTGCTCCTGCTGCCGGTCATCCTCCTCTCCATTCCCCGCCTCCGCTTCGCCCCTTCCTTTTCCTCACTTCTTCTCCTCGGCCTCCTCCTCCTCCTCTTCCTTCTCTTCTTCCTCTTCCTCATCCTCCCTATTGGTCAACCCGCCGCATCCCCCGTCTCCTCGACCTCGTTTTCCATATCCCAGACCAAACGGTGACAGACGATCGAACTGATCGAGGAGGGCAGACGGGTGGGGGAGGAGGAAGATGAGGCCCGAACACGTTGGACGTATTGCTTGTCTCGGACGCCCGATGTGGATGAGGAGAAAGAGGAGGATGAAGAGGAGGAGGAGGAGGAGGAGGAGGAGGAGGCTTCTGTTGGCGGGGGTTCTTGGGTCCCGAGGTTGTTTCCTGAGGCGCCCGCCCCTGCTTCAAAGGACATTATGAGGCTGTGGGGTGCGTTAGGTCTTTGCGTCGCGCCGCGCGGGCGCGGCGCGGGCTTCGTGGACAGACTGGAGTGGCCCGCAATGCGTAGGAGGAGGACCAATGAACAACGAAAGCCTCGTCAACAATGTTGCAGTATAACATACCTCCTAGCTCCCTCTTCATGGGCCCCTCCCCCCCCCAAAAAAATGTTTTTACACAGGAGCGACAAGGAGGCATGGCAGGGCATGGCATCTGCTTCGGGCCTCGGGTCGGAGAGGGGGATCAATCACGACTCCACACATCAATGGATTCGATATATGCGATCTGCAGTGCGCGCTGATTCCACAAAAGAAAGCGAACCCCCTCTGGGAGCCCCTAGTTGTCTTCGCTCTACCAACTGCGGCGAGACTCTTGAAATTTGAGTTGCTCTGTTGGGCTGAGTTTCGAAAGCCGTTCTACATCGGCTAAGCTACTACTGCTACGCTGCTGCTGCGCTCTGCTGTGCTACACACGCGCTCTGCTTCTCCTGCAAGGCAGGGGAAGGGGCAACACGAGACGAGGAAGGATGCTTCTCACTCACCTGGCGGCGTCTGCCGTTCGCTGGAGCTGCGCTGTCGGGCACCGCGGCCGCCGTCGTCCCCCCCGCGGGGCTCGCCACCTCTGGCACGGCCACGCCCATCCCCTCGGCTGACCTGCGTCGCGCCGCACCCGCGGACGTGGCCTCCCTCGAGCACGGTGGTGGCGGCGAGGGAGCAGCTCCACTCGTCTTCAGTGCGCGTGCTGGTCCAATGCCATCTGCAGCAGCCTCTCCCGGTGGCCCCTGGGGCCGACTCCTGGCTTGATCTCCGCGCCCAGCTGCTCTGCGCACAAGAGGAAGCACTTCTCGATGCCGGCCTCGCTGATGCTCAGCGCGATCTTCGCGCTGCCTTCCTTGACGCACTGCGGGGCACGGAAGCCCCTGATGAGGATAATCAGCTTTGGGATGGCCAAGGGTTCCAGCCGCGCCCAGATCTCGGGCCAGGCGACCTTGCTGCGCATGCCCAACTTGTCGCCAGCGCCCTTGATCGCGCGGGCAACCTCGAGAAACACCTGGACGCATGCGGGCCCCATGATCAACTCGGGCCCCTCGTGCAGGCTGGGGTCCGCGACGTGCTGGTCGCGCAGCTTCGGAGCCTCGGTCGCGCAGGCCTTCCCCGCCGTCGAGCCCGCAGTCGCGGGCGCCAAATCCTCGCCCACGGTAAGCACGTGGTAGTTCGTCGCAATTAGTTCGCGGATGTCATAGCTGTTGCCCAGCGCGGCGCGAGCGAGCACGGGGGCCAGCCGCGGCTCCATTTGCATGTCCATGGCGTGCAGATTGTCGAGCGCCTCTCGGGGAGGGCCGCAGTTCTTGACGGTCGAGTCCTGGGCCGCCGCGCGTCCGCCCTGCTGCCGGCGCCCTCCTTCGGGCGTGGGGGCGGCTGCTGCGGCCCGCCGCCGGGCGGCGGCAGGCGCGGGCCTCGCGGCTGGCACTCGCGCAGCCATCGTGGCCACCTTGCGCTGGCGCTGCGCAGCGGCTGCGGGGGCGGGAGCGGACCTCGGCGCCCTGCAGCGCCTGCGGGCCCTGGCGAATGGCAGCCGTCGCCGCCCGCTGGGGCCTGCCTCGGCACAGGCCGAGGCGCGCGCCGCTCGAGCAAGCGCGCCCGCGGGGCAGCGAGTGTCTCGAAGGGCCCCTTCGACCGTGCAGGCGAACTCCAAGATTGACGAACCTCTGGACAGAAAAGATACCGTGATCGAGGCCAGGGGGCGCATCAGGCACTGGGGGTCCTCGATCTCGCGGCAGAAGGGAGGCCTCTAGATGAGGCAACGTCGCGCAGACAGGCTGCCACGGCGCGCTCTTGAGCTATCCGACGAGCCCTGAGGGCACTGGCACAGCAGACGCATTGGTTGGCGACCTCTATGGCGTGAATAATGTGGCCAGACACTCTGTGAAACGTCTGGTGTGCGATCAGAGCTCGGCGAGTCGGAAATCGGCGCCCGCGCGGCGTGCCCTCGGCGCCCATCAGTTCGCAGCGCCGCGACGCCGTTGACGGCAGGGGGGCCCCCCGGGAGCTGACGGCGGTAGCCGCCCAGGCGGCGGAATCGCCACCGCGCGCGCCTGCGCCCGCAGGGGCCCAGTTTAACAGTTGTCGAGCCTCATGCTGTGCGCCAGGGCCGACAAAACAAGGTGAGACCGAGCTATTGGGCGGGTTGTGCGTGTATCCGCAGGGCTGCAAGGCACTCTGCAGTTCGTGATGCGAGTGACGCGAGACGAAACCTGCGTTCCTGGCCGAGACGATGACACTCGCGTGGTTGGTGTCGTCAGCGTAGGTTCGCGCGCCGAGTGGGACTGCTGCCCCGCGGAGTGGGCACCAGCCCGCGCGCGCCATTTCGCTTGGCCAGATCGGCGCGTCGACGTCGGCTCGCGAAGTTGGCGGTGGAAGTGGTTGGCGCCCCCTGTCCTCGTAGGAGGACGGCGCGTCGGGCAGGTCGTCGGTAGCCCAAGCAGTAGCACGTGGGCGACGAAGCCAGGCCGCGATGAGGTCGCGGAAGGTCTCTCATGTCTTCCTTGGTCGCGAGGCTGGAGATGCCAAGGCGGCGCAGACGACCGAGCAGACCTTCTTGACATGGGGGCGCCCCTTCGCGGCGTCGTTCCTGCCGGCGGCCGCGTCGGGCGGCGCCCGCTGTAGGTGCGCCGAGTACCAGCCCGCCCCAACTCGACCATGACTGCGGATGAAGCGCTCCGCCTGGAAATCGGTCTTGCCGTTGTTCTTGTCAAGCGCCGCGGCGACGGAATGATGCCGGGCGAGCGGGGTGCGCTTCGCCCGCCTGATGCGGGCCAGGATGGTCTTCAGGGCTCGCTCGGTGACGGGCGTGTCGAGCTCGTCGGTGTCGCGGCCATGCCCGCGACGATCCCATGCGAGACGGCGGCGCATGGGGCGGCCGCGCGTCTGCGCCTGCATCAGGGGAGGGGGGTGCATTTGGGTGCTCAACGAGCTGCCCCCTCCCCCCCCCCCCGGTCATCGCGCCGCTCCTCGCGTCGATCGGACCCCGCCCGCGCTGCCCCGCCAGCAGCGGCGCGCTCTCCCAACCTTTCGCCGACGGCAACCAATGTGCATGCGGCTCGCGGCGCTCGGACGACCTCCACATCATCCACGACGTCCAGGCCCCTGTCGAGCTCGCCAGGTGTTGCTGGATGCGAGAAACAAAACGCGTCCTCCTCTGGGTCGTCCAAGCCATCGGCAGCAAACAGCGCGGGCACGCGTGGCGACGCCGATCCTGGAAGCCGCAATGGCGCACCAGGACTGTGAGGTCTGACGCCCGTGGCGACTGCGCCTGGTAGCCGCAATGGACAAGAATCGGAACATGGTCCTGGAAGCCACGACGTGGAATCAATGTCAGCCGTAAGTTCGCCCTTTTGAGCGGCGAGACCTTCTGCGCGAATGGTGGCTGCCATGAGAAGATAGCTACGTGGCCGATGTGAGAGGCGCTCTTCACGCCGTGGACGGTGGGAACTATGTCGTTGTCGCCGGTGACGACACGCATCGCGAAACGCTCGAGGATGACGAGCACCTCGTCCGCAGCGTAGTGTTGCCCCTGGCGCCCGAAAGGGCCGAGAGCATCCGAGACCACCTCCTCGCACGCCTGCTTCCCGCGACATTTCAGGCCCAGGCCGTAATTCAGGTCAAATTACAGCTGATCGTCCCCGACCCCAGGTCATCGCCTTCTCCATCCAGTCGGAGACGTCATCGACGGTGGCCCCGCGCTCGCGATGCAACGTGCCAGCGGGCGCCGACTCCTTCGCCTGCCGCCCGTTCGAAGGTCGGGGGGGGGAACTATGCCATGGCGACGAGGATGCCGAACGTGTCGCTTTGAAAACGTATCATGGCGACTCGTCCTGTCAGTTTCGCTGGCACTGGAGGGGTATCCACCTCATGTGAGGCACGAAAAATACGGCGTCGCAGAAGAAAAGGTACATCCACAACTCTTGTTCGCGTGGGGGGTGGGACTCCATCCCGAGCGCAACGCCGGGTTGTAGGGCAGCGCTGCCCGAGTGGTCTCAACGTGGCCCCTCCTTTCTCCTGTGCCGCTCAGACAGATCAAATCTCCATAGCTAAACTCTGCTGGAATATCACGAAGTGTCTCGTCCGTACTCGCTGTCTGAACATTCCAGTGGGTGAGCGTCATGAGAACGATTGAACAGCAGCAGTACCAGAAAAAAAGGCCGCTCTGCCAGGAGCCGCCATCTCGCCGAGGTATGGATGCGCATCCGTTTGCGATATCCGTTTGCGCTGCCGCCCCAAAATCACCGCCTCGGGCCGGGGGGGCTACGATGAGGAGGAGGAGGAGGATGAGGACCAATGTAAACCCAAGACTGGTCAAGAATGTTGCAATCCAATTCCCTCTTCGCGGGCCCCTACAATAAAATTGTTTTCGCTGAAGACGTGCACCGTTGGAAACCAGCCGTCTGAAAATCCTGAACCGTGCCAAAAGACTACTCCTAGGATTACAACGCCGCGAATCAACGTGACCGTTGCGTCCACATGATCCTAAACCATGCGAGAGCACCATTCCAGGGACTTCAACACCAAGTCTCAACCCGACTGCTGACTGTTGCGCCTTTACCGTCCTCCATCGTGCGAGTGTACTTTTGGAGGACGCAGGCCATAAGAGTGATTGAAACTGCTGTGGACTCTTAGGGCGGGTGCGCGCAGACCCGAAGCGAGAACCACCTGCTGAAACAGAGCCGCCCTCCATCCGACAAGCTCCTGCAAGCACTCCAAGCTGAGAGGACTGTGAAGCTCCTGCAGGCTTGCAGGACGAACGCGCGCGGCGCTGAGGCGGCAACTACGCCCTGAACACCGCCCGCCCGCCCTCCGCGAAGCTCCTGCAACCTCGACGCTGAAGGATCCAAGGGCTCCCAACTTCGCGCTTCGCGCTGCGCGAAGCGCGAAGCGCGAATAACTTCGCGCTCTCGCGCCGCCTCCCAAGGGAGAAGAAGAGGCTGAGGAGGAATCAGAGCCGAACCGCGAAGCGCGAAGCGCGAGTAACTTCGCGCCCTCGAGGGCGCCCTTGAGGATCACACGTGGTGAGGAGGTCTCGAGCGAAACGTCCGGCCCGGGGTGCGACGGGTAGGAGCACGCAAGGACAGCGGATGGAGGGCCGGGGGAGGGGGGAACTGACGGACGGAGGAGCGCTCCGAGGACGGAGGGGACGAGCTCCCTTGGCGCTCCTCCATGGCCTCCCCCGCCACGCTCGGACCCCTGGTTGGAGACGAAGGGGCAAGCTTGCGCAAGCGCGCCTCACGCCCGTTTCGAGGAAGAGCATCCCAGAGTGGTATGAGGAGTACGCCCCTTGCTCGTCATCCCTCGGACGTCCATTCCCCATGCATTGTTTCGATGTCGTGCGTTCATTCAGTCTGCTACTCGATGGCCCTCGCCGAACAAATGCACATGTCCGAGCGATGCCAAGATGAATGCCAGCGCAGGCTAACCCTACGGGGATGTCTATACTGTCCCGCCGACACTTCTCTCGCGGGCACGAAGACGCTGCAGGCTCCAGCGGGAAACGGGCCCTGGAACCTGGCACTCTCCCCAGGGCTCCGGCTTCTCATCCAACATGTGCCTTTGACCACCCCTGAAGCCTGGAGAATTTAGGGGGCAGCTCCTGAGAGAGGTCCCCGCGGGAACGGTAAGGAACAATGAAGCCGCATTGAAAGGCAACGAAGCCGTACTAAGCCAGCTGAAGCCCAATACTGGAACATATTAAGCGGGATTCAGCTGGATTTGCAGATCGGGCTAGAAGAGGACGGATCCCGACAGCGGATATACTAGCGCCGATGCGGAACGCACTTTAACCTCCCAAGAATTGCAACCGAACAATGGGCATCGAGAATGACGGAAACTGCGAAACATTGTAGAACCCCTTTTCCTCCTGACCCCTTTCATGGTTGCGACTCGAGGGAGATCAACCCATGCCCCCGTCATGAAAGCATCTGTTCTTTGGCAGGACCCAAAGCCAAAACCTCAGCTCCCGCTGCTGGCTTGGCACCAGCTCCTGACTGACAGATTCTCCCCATCGCAAACCAAGAGCATACATTACATGCTGGCGCTCAGGCCCCGACCCCACCGAATGAGCGATCCAGAAAGGGTTTGGGACGACGTCGCGGTTCGTCCTCGCGTTGTTCACGGGTGTATTGCATCCTCGGGGAACCTTGTCTTCCCGTCGCGGCCAAATCCGCGTCGCGGCCCATTCCGCGTCGAACCCGTGTCTGATCCGCATCGGGACCACGCCAAATCCGCGTCGAGTCCGCGTCGAGCCCGCGTCGGGCACAAGACAAGGTACAAAGTTTCGGGACAGGCGAGGTCCCCCGAAGATGCAACGCAATCATGGGGATGGACCAGGAGCCGAAAAACACGAGATCGGAGCCCACCTGCTCGCTCCTCCCTTGCCCCGTTCACTCCCACAGAACACCCTGGGTCCCGCGACGCCGACACCCGCCGTCGTGACAATTTCTCGCGAGCCTCCAAGCCTCTCGACCACGTAATCGGCGGCGAGCGAGGGGGCGAACTACGAAGGGGCGGGCCTTCTCAGAAGGCTCGGAAATCCCCGGGCCGTCTGACAAATTTTCTAAGCCTTCCCCGAAGACACAAGCGACTTCTCAGAAGGCGCGAGGGCGTCTGTCAAGTCCCCCCGCCTTCTGAGAAGGCCTTCTCCTTCCCATTTCCCCCCTCGCTCGCCGCCGAATGTGTGTCCTCGCGAGTGCTTGTGGGTTGCCTCAGGGCCCGTAGACCGCCCACGAAGGAATACATCTCAGAGGACACAATAGTCGTGTATGTTTCGCGACGCCCAGTCCCCCTCTTCTTGTATGTTCTTCTTCTCCGTCCTCCTCCTCCACCTCGTCCTCGTCCTCCTCCTCCTCCTCCTCCTCCTCCTCTTCCTCGTCCTCCTCCTCCTCCCCCCCCTCGAGTGTGGGGGCTCGAACTTCCAGAGAGATCGCCCGCCTGAGGCGGCCGGACGTGTCTGCGCTGACCATGGCGGCGGCGATGCGCTGGCCGACCCCGCGGTAGCCGAGGAGCCTGTGGTGGTCGGGATGGGGAGAAATCAGAAACTGAATCAGGAGGATACACTGAGGCCATGATCAGCGCAAGGCGGCCGGGCCAGCCAAGGCTATGACGGCGCCCCCCGCGACGAAATGAGCAGGTAGCGGCGAGTAGTCCAAGGGTTATGCAGTCAACCTTCTACCAGACAGAATGCTGAAGGAGAACCGAAGGGGCAGTCCTGGCCACGGCAAGTCCTAGAGCCAGGGGCCAGAGGTCTGTCCACGGCGAGAGGGGAGGCTGGGTCCAGGGCCAGGGGGGCTGAAACTGGAAGCAGGGGCCAGAGGTCTGGGTTCAGGCGAGGGGCCCAGGGGAGGGGGGGCGGGCGACGACGAACCACGAACGAACCACAAGCGAACATAAAGGGTCCGGGGCGAGGGGAGCTGGGACCAGGGGCAGAGCGGAAGCTCGGCCTGGGACTGGGACAAAGGGCTAGAGGTGTGGGTTGGGGCGAGGGGCCCAGCGAACGGGGCCAGAGGCCAGAGCCAGGGGGCGACGGCGAACCACGAACGAACCACGAACGAAGATCAAGGAACCGGGGCGAGGGGAGCTGGGACCAGACCCAGAGCGGAGGCTCAATCTGGGACTGGGGCCAGGGGCTAGAGGTGTGGGCGGGTTGGGGCGAGAGGCCCCGCGGAGGGGGGGCCAGAGCCAGGGGGGCGACGACGAACCACGAACGAACCACGAGCGAAAACGAAAGAGGTCCGAGCTCTAGGATACAACTGTGCTAGATAATAGATCCACCAGGAAACCAGCCGCGAACCATGCGCCAGCGAGCACGCGCGCATGCGGTCAGCCAAGGCATTGACCCCCGAAGCTTTCGAGACAGGCTAGCGTAGCGTTAGGTCGGGCATGTCCCCCCACCGGCGGATTTCGGGCGACAAGTGAAACATTGTAACAAATGCTCCCAAATGGTCCAGAAGAGTGGAAAAATCGTCCCACGACTATTCCTGGACAGTGTCTTGAGGTTCCCCCTGTAGAGGAACAGCTATGTCTGACGATGTTTGCCTGCGCCTGGCGGAACAGATCCAACCACACATTGGGCACGGCGAGGCCGCCGGCAGGCGGGAGAGGGGCCCGGCCCGCGGGCGGCGTGCGAGCGCGGGCGTGGCACGGAGGGGCGGGCGCCCCGGGCAAACCCCATCGAGCGAGCAACAAAACAACAGCACACACACACACACATGGGCGACTTCGGAAACCACGAGCCCAAAAGGAAGCAAGCTTGCCCAGAGGGAGGGGCTCAGGCCTTGTTGGGGATCTTCGACGCTGCAAAGAACGCAGCACGAGCTTCACGCACGGGGCGGAATTCGGAGACCCTGAACCCCCAAAAAACGTTTTCATCTCTTGGGGGTGCAGTGTTTGCTTCCGCCGCCTTCCGCCGCCCTTCCGCCAGCTTCCGCCGGCGGAGGCGGCCTCGTTTTGTAAACTCCCGCCGGCCTTCCGCCGCCCTTCCGCCGCCTTGCGCGGCGGAAGAGATGGCAACTCCTTCGATCCTCGGAGGCAAGGCCTTTTTGGGGGAACGCCCCATATGAAACAACCGATGTTTCCACATGCAAAAGAAGGAAAGCATCTCCAACCTCCAAATGGGGGAGGGCGAACAGCATTGAGGAATTGACCCTTCGCTTCTGCGGAAGAGAGGAAAGGATATCCTCCACCGACCTCCACGAAAAAGGGATCCTACTGTAACCCTCCTCGAAAGGACTCCTAGTGTACTCGCCGAAAAAATACACAGTTGGAATCAAGAACCGATTGCATCCGATAATGGAGGGACGGTCGCCGCACGGCAGCCAATTCTTCCTCTTCGCTCCTCCTCCCCATTCGGATGTTGCAACTGGGTTTTTCCATACAAACAAAGTGTGAAAGCAGTGTTGTATGTGCTGTGTGTTGCTGTTGTTCGGTCCTTTCGTTCCTGCGGTGACCGCCCCACAACACTTCACTGCGGTGCCTTCCGCGCGGGAACGACTGTTCAATGTTTCCGTTGTTCTTCCCCCCATTAGGAGGGTTGAACTGTTTCTGACAACGCTGGTTTGTTCATGCGTCTTATGTGTTTCCTGTTCTTCGCTACCTTCGTTCCTGCGGCGCCCGCCCCTCCATACCACAATCGGATTCCTTTCTGGTTACTGGTCATGTAATCGGATCCTGTAGAAGATTACGTTCGGATTCTGTCTGCGAAGCCTTTGCGGCGGATTGCAACTGGATTCCTTTCTTTGGACGCCCGAACTGGGCACGGAAAGAATGGGTACAGTGCCCAACAACAGATGTTGTCCCAAACCTACAGCGGCCGCTGTTGGGCAGGCGGCCTCCTGTCTCAAATGGACACAGGCCGCGGCGGCGCGGACAGCGAGTCCTGTCCAAAATGATCAAGAACTGCTGTTGGGCATTGTACCCATTCTTTCCGTAACCATTTCGTTCGTGCAGACTTTCGGCGGGAAGCCGCAAGAAAGCTCCTCTTGCGGATGATCGCTCTTCCCATGGAAGATTCACGGCGCGGCCACTTTCGAACTTTGTGACGACCTCACGACCCCCGACCGGAAGGCTCCAAAAGCGACGCATGCACGCCCACCTTGAAGGAGCCCTGGGACACACAACTAAATACACACAAAGATAAAAGGGTTCCCCATATTTTCCTGTATCTTCTGGGTTTCTGTTTTCCCCCCGCACTGCCCACATCTTCTCGCAGTCCCAACCAGCCTCGAACGTATCCCTATCCCTAAGATGGGCGAGCAAAAAGCGAGGACAATCTTAGGGACAGGCCCTCAGAAACCGAGGGAATCCTGAAGATCGGCATCGAGGTGAGGTGATGTCAAACATAGGGATAGGGATATGTTTCAAAATGGTCAATTTCCATATATTCACTCTGGTCAAATACACACAAAAATAGAAGGGTTCGCTATATTTTCCTGTATCTTCTGGGTTTCTGTTTCCCCCCCCACACTGCCCAAATTGTCTCGCATTTCTGGGGGAATCGACGATGACTTGTGCCTGCGTGTTTCTTCTCCTCCCGACGTCGGCGGACCAGGCAAGAATCCGAACGCCCCCCTGACGAGGCCCCGTCGGGCCCCACCCGTGGACCTCCCCATCGGCCAGCACTGAAGGGGGCCCTGGGACACGCAATGAATAGACACACATGACAGGATCCCCCATATTTTCCAATACTTTCTGAGTTTTTGTCTTCCCCCCAACTTCCCATATTTTACCATATTTTCTCAAATTTTCTGGGTTCTTGTCTTCCCCCCCACTTCCCACATTTTCCCATATGTTCCTGGGAGTCGACGATTAATTGTGTCTGTGTGTTTTTTCCCCTCCTGCACCTCGTCATCATTTTCATCACCACCACCGCCATCACTCGCTGGGGGCCGGCGGAATGGTGCGAGCCTTCTGGACCAGATGACCAAACTGCATGGTCCCAAGCACGCGACGTCCTGTGAAATTTCAGGACGGGGTCCCTGGAAGTCCCGACTCGTTCCCTGGGACCGGCTTGTCATCCTGAGTCGATTGTGGACAGTCCCGAGGCCCTGCGAGGGCCCCCCGATGCCGTAAATGGCCCAAAACCTTCCGTCCTGATATACTTTAGGACGCGATCATGTCTGGGGTTGTAGCAACCTGATCCAGGACCCGCACTTTCACCTCGCCGCGCGGTGCACGCGCGCTGCTCTACGGTGCGCCCAGAACTCGCATCCGTATCCAATCGTACACACTGCGGGCCACACGCTCGCGGCGCCACGCGCGCGCGGCGAAAAATCCTGCCAAGGGAATGTGATGTCGAAGCACGTCGGAATAAGCCTGCTCAAACAAATGCAGACGCCATACCTGTTGTTCCACAAATGCCTGCCACATTCGTTGCAATTCTGCGCGCGCGCTTCCTCACCATCAACCTCACCAGCGCCTTCGCGTCGCAGTCTGTGTCATCGACGCTGGCCCCCCGTTGCCGCCATCATCACCGACACACGGCCATCAACATCGTCAGCGTGGTCGCCAACATCGGAGCAGTCATTGGCTTTGCCGTCGTTGCGGTCGTGGTCGCGGTCGTGGTCGTGGTCGTCGTCGTCGCCGCCACCAGCGTACTATCAGCACCGTTACCGCCGTGTCCGACGTCAGTGTGATATCGCGCCCGCCCGAATACGATCGAACCCCGACCCCACTTCCCGAGTCAGGACTTATCAGGATGTCCGGGGACATTGCAATTTACATATAAACACGAATTGTCGTCCATTTCCAGATGTAATCATTCCGCCCCCGCCAAGTCGGTATCGACCCCCCCTCATCCCAATCAACTGACACTATATGCGCGGTCTCATCCACCTGACAAGAACAGGCATTATACAAGAACTCCCTTGGCAACCCACACGCGCGAACATGTCAAAGGGCTGTACACTCATGCCAGCACATGGGGATCAAAATCCCAGAGCTGTTTCATCACAAGTATTACAAGTGTTGTCCTCGCGCATGGGCCGAAATCCCCACAACACAAAAACATGTGTTTAGCAAGCTCGTCCACGACATGCTTTCTCACCCCCCCACGCGGTGCATCCGAGTTGATCCAACATGCTCTCAACGGGCGGGTCCACATCGAATCATACCATGCGGACAACACGCGCGCGCCGCCACGTGCGCGCGCCGGAATCTGTCCAAAACCGTGGGTGTCCCGAAGCCGTGCAGAAATAGAGCTCGTCAGAAACATGCCACAACTTTGTGGCTCAACACAAGGTTTGCCAAGATTTCAGGATGTCTGCGCGTGCAGTTCCTCACCACCACCCTTATCGGCACCTTCGCATCACCGCAGTTACCATCATCGCCACTCGCCAGCATTGCCGCCATCACCAATCCATCACATCCATCAACGACACGGGCATCATCATCGTCATCGTCGTCACCCGCATCGACCCCGTCATTGGCCTTGCCGTCATCGTCATCATCGACACCACCATCGCTACTATCATCGTCGTTGCCGCCGGTATCGGCGCCATCATGACCCCGCGCCCGCCCGAAACACCGACCCGCATCGAAGTGCCCGGCCGCCTGCGCGTTCGCTAAAACACGCTGGGAAGCTCCCACAGGCAAGCACCAGCGCGGCTGCACTTGAGGTGCCAAACCAGCTGGCTGGCTCCTCTGCGAGCGAGCTTGCGCGTGCCACCGCGGCCGCAGAGACGCGCCAGCCAGTGCCAAGCACATCTGCAATCGTGGCCGCATGTGCTCTGGGAAGCATGTTGCGGGTGGAAGGGTGGGATGTTTGCACGAGCAGTGGAGTTGACACCTCACGACTTACTACAAATAATTGCACCACGTAGAATGCCCTGCACCACGTGTAATGCCCCACGCGGGCTGTACCACATTGACTGCAACTCGTAGATCGAGGACTTTAGCATGCATCACGTGTCTTCCAAACAAGATCCAAACCGTCTACAAGCATCTGGAAACGTTCACCAAGGCTTGGTGGAAGGGTTTGGTTACGTTTGCCCATCTGGAATCGCTGAATTGATGGCCCCGGGTCACGGAAGGAGGGGGCCAGGCCTCGAAACTGGCGAACCAGCTCCAAGAACCGCTTTCCTCAGGTCCCCTTCGGCTTCGTGACGAGGCATGGGCCGCGGACCACCAGATACGGAGCTCAGACCAGTGTAGCCAAGTTGGCCCCCTATCCCGCCCCGTAGCACGCGCTGCCACGGGGGAAGGAACGATGTGGAGGGGGAGTAGGAGGGGAGACGGTGGAGGAGGGGAAGGAGGGGAGAAAGGGGAAGAGGAGGAGGAGGAAGAGGAGGAAGAGGAGGATTCATGAGGAGCAGGAGTAAGAAGAGGAAGAAGAGGGGAGGAGGAGGAGGACGCGACGACCTTGGGGCAGAACGTCAGCTTCATCCACGACTATGCTGGGTCGCGAGCTGCCTCCTTCGCCCGAATCCTCTCAGCCAGCGCACGGAGGCGATCGTTGTCGATCAGCCGTGCACTGCCAGCCAAGGACGGCGGAGGGGCAGCAAGGAGCACTGCCTTGGGCAGGGCTCGCGACACCGATTTGTCACCCTCTGAATTCAACCTGTAGTGAGGGTGAAGACCGCGGCCCATACGATCGAGGGCACTCTCACCAGAGGGCCCGAGGAACTTGGAACAATGTTGGCCCAAAAGGTGGCAACGGTGACTGGTATACGCACCACAGCGTATGCAGAAAAACAAAATCTTACCCGATCGGTCCAGTTCGGCGAAGCCCAGTTGGTGACCACGGTCCGACTCAGCACCCTCGAGGCGCCTCAGGGCCGTCGGGGGCCCACGACAGCCGTTCATGGGTCTTTCGCCGTGAGGAGGAGGAGGAGGAGGAGGAGGAGGAGGAGGAGGAGGAGGAGGAGGAGGAGGAGGAGGAGGAGGAGGTGGGATGTGGGCGAGGAAGGCGAGAGAAGTCCTGTGGTAATAGTACTCGTGGCCAGCTTTGTCGGCAAAGTTCGTCTCCATGACGTGGATGCTTCGCCCCTGGTCGGGGACGCCAACTATACACCAACACCGACCCTGGCCAGTTTCATCCCTGGCCCAGGACCCATCCTCCAGGCAGAGGCAGGAGGTCTCCAGAAGTCCCCTTACGTCCCCAAGGTCTCTCGTGGCTCCTGGAAGACTCCAGAGACTCCGAAACACCACAACACACTCCAAATCCTCATCCTCCCTCCGCCTCCCCGATCATGCGCGGGCGGTGCATATTACTTCGGCGAAGCCCTCCTTGCGGAGCCCTTGGGCAGACGACCCAGGACCCTGCCAAGGACCCAGACCTCGACGTGGGGGTGAAAAGGACCACAGCTACCGTGCTACCACAAGTGACGCTGAGCAAGGAACGAGGGGGCCTCCCTGGCCACAGCGAGCCTCAGCCACGAATAGAGTCCCCGACCGTCTGGTGCTGTTTGCACAGGTTCCCCGACCTAGTTAGATCAAGAAGCGGCCCGAGACACCCAGGCTCGTCTCGGCTGTGGGCGTGAGGTGCGCTCCGTGCTTCGGCTGAGCTCGCCGTTCCCATGGGCGCGCTCTGCCAGGCACGCCCGCCCCGGGCCGCCTACCTGAGCCCGCGGGGCCAGAGAGGGAGGAGGCGGTACAGGGGGGGCCTCCCTGGGCCCGGGGTCGCTCCTGCGGGTCGGACGAGAGAGGGGAGGCAGTAAAGGAGGGGCCTACGACTCTGCTCACGATGCTGACTCTCACGGCGCCTCCCGGCGCCGAAGGCGCCCCATGCACCGAGGGGAGCGCCTGGCGGAGGGGCCGAAAGCAGCTGCGTGCAACAAGATCCGCACCCCCCCTTTCCTGATCCCGCCCTTTCGTCCGACCCGGTTGGCCCGCTCCAGAGACCCCGAACCAAGAGAGGTACCCTGCCGGCTTCGTCGCGACCTCTGGCGAAGCTGCTACCGATCTGGATTAGCAGGCAATGCGCCTGTGCCGGCACGGTCATCTCGAAGTCCGTTGCCGTTGACAATTTGGCCCTCCCCGCACCATCCCTTAGGTGCGCACGCTTTACTCCCTCCAGCGTGGTGCCACGGCCCAAGCCCAACCGGCCTTGCTCACGCAGAGCAGCTGGTCCTCCGCCGCCATGGCTGAGGAGATGAAGCTGCGGTCGAGCCCCGTGGCTAGTAGGAGTCGCTTCTGGAGGTTGCTTCCGGTGAGGATCTTCAGGCCCTTGGCCCTGACGTAGTCGACCGTCGCGTAGGCCTAGGACGCAGAAAGACGTGCCTCCTTTACCCTGCGCCCCACTCACATAGAACACAATCATACAGTAGGTCAGTATCCGGCCGGTATGGCCAAAAGCCAGACGCCACAGAATACTTATACGATGAGACTTCTGCGTGCGCGCCCCTCACTGGGAGTCAGACGCACACACAGTATGTGTACATGGTGGTGTTTCCAGAAGGCCTGCAGCCACACTCTTGAGACTGCCCAATCACGGTAAACTTCTGGAGGCTTGCGGGTTCTCTTGGGTCGGCCAGCTCCCGGCTCGCGGGCGTCCGAGAGCTTATACGCTTATGGCGTGGTCGCCCTTCGCGTAGGCCTGCGGTCCGACTTGCCACGAGTAGAAGAACAATAATAATAATAATAACAAGAAGAAGAAGAGCAACAAAAACGCCATGAACATAAACTTTGGGGGCTCCGCGCGGAAGGTTTATGTTTATGGCGACGTTTCTCCTTTGAACGGGGGAACTGGAAAGAGGAAGGTGGCAATGTGTGGGGGGGGCGGACTAGCTCCGGAGGGGAAACGTCGAGCATCGTATTAGGCGGTACATCGCAGATAGATGTTAAGTCGGGCGTGCCCCTCTACAGGAGGAGAATTCGGAAATAGTCAAAAGATAGTCAGGAAAATTGTTTTACTTGTGTTGACCATGTTTGGATATGTTTTGATTATTTTTAATTCATCCAAGATCCTCCTGTACGGGGACAGGCCCGACCTGAAGATAGATCGGCGCTAGGAACCCGGCAGCGAACCCGCACGCTCCTGGGCGGGAGCGGGCGGCCGAGTCCCCCATCGGCGACCGGCGATCAGCTGGAGATCCGAGGTCGACGCATCCCCCCCGAGCCTGTCTCTGGTGGCCTGGAGATGGGCACCAGCACCAACACAGGGGGCTGCCTCCACAGGGGGAAGATGATCCCAGACTTCGGTGTCGGTGGTCATGTTTCGGTCGCCTCGGAAGCCAGAAGATTACCACCATCACCGAGACCAGGATCTTCCTCCCTCGGTGGAGGCACACCGCCGCTCTTGGTGTTGGTGTCAACCTCCAGGCCTGCGACATCTCCCCCCGACGTTGCCCCCTGACCGAGGAACACCCTCCACGAGGAACGAGAACCCCTCTTGAGGCAAGGTCGGTCCGCAGCCCTGCGGACAGTCGGGTCGGATCGGCACGCGCGCCGGATCGGGCCGCCCTGGCAGGGTCGGCCTGAGCTCGAATCGGATCGGCCGCGCTGGGATGCACGAATAAGCATTGCAAACATCGGGCCGCAGAGGGTCGTCGTGATGTCGGAATCGAGTCGGATCGAGCCGACAAACATCGAAATCGGATCGGATGGTCAAGTCGAAATTGCCGATGTGAGAAAGCCCCTGTTGCGTCTAGACTCATGTGGAGAGCCAGGGGCAAACCAATGGAGGGCCCCGAGGAACATCGGGCCCCCTCCGAAACCAACATAGATCTGATCCTACCTGAGATGTTGGCTGCACTGGGTGTGGAAGCCCAAGCCGTAATTGTGTTGGCACTGGCGGCCTTTCCTCGGATTCGGCTTCCAGAGGCCGCAGACCGATAAAACAAAACAGCACGGCTGGAATGAAATTTCGGCCCCGGGGAGAGGGCCGAGAGCTTTCGGCACCCCAGACAACTAATGTTAGGTCGGGCCCCCCTACAGGGGGATTCTGGACGAAGATTTTAAGAAGAGCCAAAACAATACTCCAACAATGCTCCAAAACAGACAAAAATCGTCCCCAGAGCATTTTGTTGACTATTTTTGGAATTGTCCCCCTGCAGAGGGACATACCCGACTCAAAACCAGTGACGGCAGCGACCCGTGCCGCGTGGACCCGGCGGCGACGCCAGCGCGTGCGTCCAAGGAAGGGAACGCCGTCCAGCTGCCTTGGCAGCGCTGGGGGCTCCTTGCCTGTCCTTTTTTGTAAGTCGCGTCCTGCTCCTTGCGGGGCAACGATAGGGGGGGATTGGCATAGGGAGGGATGCATCGACCTGGAGTCGGCGATACATCGCCAATTGATCGGCGATAGGCCTCCGATAGTGAGTCCGCACCTTCCTGGGCAGGTTGGGGCTATCAGGCTCCTATCGGCGATCCATGGGCGATTGGGGGTCGATGCATCCCCCCTATGCCTATCCCCCCTTGCCCCTGACTCTTGTATCCGACGTGGGTCTGGCGCAGTTTCGACGTGGACTCGGCACGGATTCGACGCGGATTCGAAATGTATTCGACGCGCGATTCCACGCGCTCGTTATGGATTCGGCAAGGACTCGACGCGGATCGCGGCGCGACGGGACAGACAATATCCTCCCCAAATGCAACATAGCGCCTCTGGCCCAGAATCGGCCGATCACGAGCGGTCTGGACGGCATGATGATGACGGCCACGACGACGATCATGGTGGCGGTGATGATGGCGATGAGGCCATCGAGGGCGTCCAAAAGGGAAGCGTCCAAGAGGAGGGCTCGCAAATCGTGACCCGAGGTATCTGCGCGGACGGGGGGAGGGCCAGGGAAGCATCGTCGGCCCTACCGGCAGGTCCTGCGGCGAGCCTCTGGGGCGCTGGCCCTGCGCCGGCGGCTCGGACGGAACGCAGGGAGAGGGAGGAAAGGAGGGACGAGCAAACGAAGACGAACGCGCAGGCGGGAGGCCATGGCCGGCGGGACGAGGCAGGCGGGCGGGCAGGGGCGGAGACGGGACAGCAAGCAGGGAGGGGAGGAGGAAGAGGACGAGGAGAAGGAGGAGGGGCAGCAAAAGGGCCGGGCCAGGGGCCGGGAGGGAAGGGCCGCCCGCGACGAAACCACGGACCCTACGGCGGCGACGGGAAGCAGTCGTAATGGGCGTCAGGATCCGTTGTGGGCGTCGGGAAGGGCGTCGGGATCGTTGTGGGCATCGGGAAGAGCGTCGGGGTCGTTGCGGGCGTCGGGAAGGACGTCGTGGTCGTCGGGATCGTTGTGGGCGTCGGGAAGGGCGTCGGGAAGGGCGTGGGGTTGCCGGCCGAAGCCAGCACGCTGCGGCTTGGTGGGGATGGAACCTCGGCGGTATCACCCGCCGCCCCGCCGAGGAAGGGACGGTCGGCAGTGTGGGGGGGCGCCAGCGCGCCACCCACGGAGGGGCGCGGGGGGGGCGCTGCCCAGCCAGGGGGGGGGGAGGGCGGGGGGCGCTGGGCTGCGCCAGCGTGGCGGCTCACACGGCGTCAGCCGTGGAAGCAGTTGTGGCAGCGGCCAAGCGGGCCGCAGCCACCCCCGCCCCTCCGGGGGAGCATTGGAAAGGAAAGAAGGGGCCATGACATCTGGGGAGATCTCCTGGCCCCGGCCATATTTGACCCACCAAAAAAAGGACCCCATAGCCCTTTTGGGAGGCGCCCAAGTTAGGAGGTCCAAAAACATTAGGGTTACTTTCCTGCAGATGTATCGAACCAAACCGCCCAGGTTTATTATCCCTAAATGCAAAGATGGGGACCTCAGGAAGGCCACGTCTTCACTGTGTTGTTCGGGTTAGGGGTTCTTTTATTCTCGATGAATGATATCCCCCCCAGACGTCCCCCCCCCTGGCCGCCCCGAAGCCAGCGCAGCTGCCGGAGCCGCCGAAAAAAGCGTTCGCATTTGGGACGTCCTCAAGACGGGGACACTGGGGAAAAGGCGTGGTGGGGAGGCCTCTACGCCGGGGTGGGATCTGTTGTCCGTACCACGTCAGGGGTCCCACCCTTTTGGAAGAATCTCCTGCCCACGTCACGCCGCCCAAGTTTGGCCTACACTTTGGAGCGAGACGCTGGTGAGCGTTGTCTTATTCGTCGTTGCGACATTGGGCGGAAGGAAGGGGGTCTGGCTCCGAACCTCTGCTGAATGCGACTGTTTGCAGCAGTGCGTCCTTTGGGGAAGATCCCACTTGCTCGAAACGGGCGCAAAAGAACAGCCAAGATCTGCTCCAGGCTGGGGGGGGGAGGGGGGGTGCGAGGGCCCGCGCCGATCGGCAAAACAACGAATAAGGAAACGATCGCCGATGGGCTTTAGACCTCCAGCGTGACTCGTCTCTCGCGTCGCATGCAGCCTCAAGGCGTCGACACATGGTCGGCGTTTTCCAGGAATGGTATGTCGCATGGGCCACCGTCAAGACACGCTGACCAAATGTGCCCGACCGTACTTTCGTCTTTCCCGCCCCTCCAAGCCTGTGGGAGGAAATCCAAAAGCGAATGCGCGTAAATGCCGTGGAAGTGTGCATAAGGGACGATCATTAGGTCCTCGTCCAGCCCCGTCATCATGCGCTTGTTCTTCGCGGCCTTCTCCCGATTCTTGGCGGTCATGAACTCCTTGTCCTTCCAGTCGCCCAGCAGCATGGTGTGGGACTGGTTCCACACCTCCCTGTGCATGGAAAAGCCAACCTTGCAGCTCGGGGCAAGACCGGTCGGCATCGAGTCGTTAAGTCATACCGGAACGTGCTTCAAAGCGGGCCACATCGGCACAGAGTCGGCATCGAACCGGATCAGCCGCGCAAGGACGCACGGCAACGCAGAGCGAGCACCGCCCCACATCGCAACGTCAGGACATAGAAACCGAATTGGATGAGGTGGGGCAGTAACAATACATACGTATTCTTAATATACACGCATGCGTACATGTATATGTAAATTACATAACAGAGTGAGGGGGCCGAACGGTCATTCATTGTCCCTGGGTGCGTGGCCGAAGTGGGAATCCGTGGTGAGAGTTATGTTTCTTGCATTGTTGCTGCTGTTGTTACTGATGTGTTGCTGTTGTTGTCGTTGTTGTTTGTTTGTTTGTTTGTTTGTTTGTTGTTGTTGCTGATGTTGATGATGATGTTGTTGTTGCTGTTGTTATTGTTATTGTTGTTGTTGTTGTGTTGTTGTTTGTGTTGTTGTTGTTGCTGTTGTTGTCGTCGTCGTCGTTGTTATTGTTGTTGTTGTTGTTGTCGTTGTCGTTGTTGTTGTTGTTGTTGTTGTTGTTGTTGTTTGTCGTCGTCGTCCCACCCGCGACCCACCCCGCGACCCACTCTGCAACCCACCCCGCGACCCAACCCGCAACGCACCCGCGACCCAAACCGCGACCCTCCCGCGACCCACCCGCGACCCACCCGCGACCCACCCCGCGACCCAATCGCGACCCACCCCGCGACCCACCCTCAAGGGAGGAAAAACCACCCGGACCCGACAATTGACGTCTACTAAACGGTCCTGGGCGTTTACTGAACAACCCTGCCCTGTTCGATTCCTTCCTTGTGTGCGTTTACTAAACGGCTTCGCTTGTCGGGGTGATTCTTATGGGGTGGATTTTCAGCGCTTCACACCCGCGACCCACCCGCGACCCATTTGCGACCCACCCGCGACTACCCACATTGGTTGGTTTAACCAAAAAATCGGCGCCGGCGGCGGGCTCGTTTCATAATTTACGAAAGATTGGCGCCTGCGGCGGGCTTCTCCAGAGTCTCGCAAGCTGCCGACGTCCCCACCGACCCCTCGCTCTCATCCGCACCTGCGGGATGCCGCGCATCGTATCCGCCACCGCGCCTCTGGGCACGGAACGGTCGTGTCCCAGATGCCCTTGGCCGAATCCTCCGAGCCTCAATCCCCACCCCCGCGGAGTCTGTAATCGGGGATGGACAGAACCCCCTTTAGTAAAACGTGGTTTAGTGAAAACGACCTCGGGCCCAAACCTGGCGGGCGCAAGCCTGGAAAATGACGGCCGCGGCGCCCTCTCGAGAACCGAAAACGGACAATTCACTAATCGACGTGTCAGGGTGGGGGTTCTGTCCGCCCCCGATGGAAGGGGCCCAGGCCCCAAAAAGCCCAGGATTTGGCGGGGCGCGGCGCGTGCCCCCCTGGGCTCCAGGATAGGGCAGCGACCTCTATACACCGACGCTGTTCCTGACCTTGCGCTGGAATTCGCAACGAGGAGTGCGGATTCTGGTGGATACGGGATCCTGGTGTATACGTGTCTCGTCGCTTCCCTGGGAAAACGGGGGAAAAGTACACACCACGCCACCCCGACGTCGCCCCCGACCCTGAAGAAGTCGTGGGATTGAGAAGCAACCCGCCACTGGTAATGTATATGTCCCAGTTTGCGACAGGAGAGGGTGGCGCGTGAATTCTGTCGGGGCCCCACAGGCCCCCAAGACGGGCCAAGAGGGCCTCAAGCGGCCCCGAAGGCGGCCCAAGACGGCTCCGAGTCGCCGAGGGACCAGCCCAAGACGCCCAGCATGGCCTCTAAACGGCCCACGAGGCCTTCAACCTGCCCCAGGAGGCCCTCGGGAGGCCTCCCAAGAAAAAGCTGTCATGTTCGATTGGTTTTTGAAAGATTTTGGCGCTCTCGCCTTTTCGGCTTCCCGACGCTCCCAGACGGCCCCCCAGGCCCCCAAGACCGCCCCAAGGGGCTCCAAGAGGCTTCCAAGGGGGCTCCGAACCTGCCCAAAAGGGCCCCAACACGGCCCAAGAGGCACCCAAAACGGCACAAGGGGACCCCAAGACGGCCGTACAGGGGGCCCAAAGAAGGAAACGCGAACCGAAAACCTGAGTCTTCCGCCCCAAGAGGCCCCCAGCAGCCCCAGAAGGCCCCAAGAGGTGCCCAGGGGGCCACACGAGGCCCCCAAGAGGCTCTTAAGAGGCCCCAGAAGCCCCAAGGGGCCCAAAAGAAGCCCCAAGAGGGCCCCCCCCCCCCCAAAGCGTCCAAACTGCCTCCAAGAGGCCCCCGAGATGCCTCTCCCACGAGACCCCAACGAACACCCAATAGGTTTCATACCAATAACCCAAGAACGGTTGCGGCATGGGCCGCTCAAATAGATACAGATGTACCAATCCAGAAATTAACAACCAGAGTGGACTCTGACCCTGCAGCCCAGGAAGTGAAGCGAGGGAGACGGGTAACGCGAAAGAGGCGTGAAACTCGCTCAGAACAGATCCCCAGAACACTTTCAAATATCTCCAGGAGCGTGGCCCGACAAGAATCTCGATGTGAAACACGCAGTGGCGACGAGAACCTTCGAGCGCTTCCCAACACCTCCGAAAACCAATGTAAGTAGTGGAAAACGTGAGAACAACAAAAAACGAAGAGGACGAGGAGGACGAACCATGGGACGAAGAGGGACAAGGAAAAGAGGGACGACGACGAGGACACGGGAGGGGGAACGATGAGCGACATCACCCAGGGTGGCGCGCGTCTCCAATGCGCCCGCGCTTGGTCGAACCAGCCGCGAACGTCGGGGGAAACAAATAGCGCCGCAAGAGAGCACGGGCTACGCTCGCCGCGAGGGGCGGGAGCGAGGAGGGAGGACGAGGAGAAGTGAACTGGCCAAAGAGGAGAGACCCCAGAACTACCATATTCACACACAGGGCGTACTTGTGGCTTTTTGCACATCGCCACAGCAACTGCACATGCACTACTCGCATTGAGCGCGACTTTTGGACTACACGCCACCTGCGCGCAACGAATCGAAAACAACACTCGGCGACACATTGCTCCAAAGCCTGAGGCGCGGCGGAGTGGGGCGAGGGAGGCGGGAGGAGGAGGAGGGCGAGGAGGAGGAACCAGAGCGTTACATTGAACGCACAACCACAAAAACATAACACATACCAGTCGCAAGCCATGTGGCACGAGCGCACCGCTGCTGCCCAAAAGCCCGCACGCGGGGGTTGCTCGAACGTGGCACAAGGACAAATCGGAAAGTGTGCGCGCCGAACCCCGGGGGAACAAGTGTCGCCCACAAGGCCAAATGCGGGCGAGAGCCAAGTGGCAACCGAAGGGTGGAAGAGGAGGGAAGAAATGAAGGCGGATCCGAAAAGTGGGGCGCAACGAATGTAAATAACAGAAGGGAAGAGGATGAATAACATACTGATGGTGGGGAAGGAACAGAATCGACGCTTCTGGGGCCCCTGTGCCCGCAACCACTGACGGATACCTTTCCGACCGGCCTCTCGAATCGCATGTGAAGTCTGGCCGATCGGGATCACTCCAATCGAATGGGACATTCCCTCCAGCACCTTTCCCTGGGCCCTCCCTCTTCCTCCTGCATGTCCAGAAGCCCCTCCTCTGTTGAATTTGGAAGTTGCAGCATGCGGGTTAAAGAATAATCTGCAACAAGGACTCAGGCATTTGCTTCATCGGGGCTGCGGCCCGTTCCTGGACGCGCGCCGTACCTCCTAGGTCCGTGGGCGTAATTCAATTCGTTGCGAAGGGCAACGATGTCCGATCCATGACGACGCCCCGACTAGAAATGCAGCCGCGCGCAGTCGAACACGGTCGCGCGCTCACGCAGCTTGTGTGGAACATCACGGCTGTAACACGCGCGCTGGCTCCCTCCTGTACCCCAGAAGGCAGAGCGTGGGACTTGGAATGTTCACGAGAAAACTTGATTTACGTTGTTACACTTATGTTTGTGTTGTTGTTGTCTCTTTGGTTACGTACAAGAAAAACTCGCAGGGCCTCAAACTTCTCTACCACTCGGCGACGAACTCGAACTTCGTGCTGCGGGCACGCCCTGCACCCACGGACCCTCCCGGAACGAGCCCGCCTCCCGCGTCAAGCCGAGAACACCGACTCTGGCGACCAGTAGTCCTCCTCGTAATCCCGCGCGTCCTCAACGCGGCGAAAACCACACACCAAGCGGCACACGTAGACGCACTCGCAGCTGCATCTCCTAAGACCCAGAGGTGGAGCTGACTTGGCACGCGGAACTGCAAGCGAAATCGTCGCGCGCGAAGTCGACGATGAGCTCGAACATGTAGAACCCGTAGATGCGGTCGAAGAGGATGTGCCTGATGTTGCACGCACTGGGGAAGCCAACGGCGGCGCAGTGGCATCAGCAGGGGCACCGTGGACGGTGGCGACGCTGTCATCGTCGGTGGTGCTCGACTCCGCCATGTGGTAGAACGTGTTCTTGACTGCCAGTCCAGACTTGCCCAGCTCGTTCACCACGCTGTTGTAGTAACAGCGCGAGGAGCAACAATAATATGACAGACAAGATTGCGGGCGCGATCAAATCTGACGAATATGTCTTCATGGTGTTGGAGATCCGCCGCTGACGATGCAATTAACGCCCGGCTTGAGCGATACCATCGACATTTTCCGCGGTGACGACGGCAAAACTGCACATCAAGCTTCCGTGAAGCTCGCTGATAAACTGGTGCGGCGCCAACCCCGGAGCAGGAAGGGACATGAACGACGGGGCCGACATTCCTGGAAGCGGAATCGAACATGAGATGCCACCCTGAGCCCCAAAAACGCCACGGAACGACGAATAGGAGGATCAGGATCAGGGGAGTTTGTCTGCTGCTCATCACCTGCTGCATGACTGCCCAGCTGGCTTGAGCGCAGGGGAACTATGAGGGGCGAGACTTGGTGTCGCCTGGCCGGCACCGCCCGCAGCCTCAAGGGGGGCCCACGACTGGAGACCACGAGCGAGGAGGGCGAGGCGGAGGGCGAGGAGGAGTGAGCTCACCTTGCTGCTCGGGGCGTAGACGCACACCTCTCCGCCGGACACCTGCGTCACCGCCACCGTCATGTCCTCCTGCAGGTACGATGCTCGAAAAAGTATCAGCTGCACAAACGTAAACTTTGAAGCTCCGCGCGGAGCTCCGGACACTAATGCGTATGCTGTTAGATCTCATGTGAGAGAAGTCTGCCTAAAAGCAAGCCAAGGGCGCGCTCGTCGTGGACCCTTGAACATCCTAGGGTGTCCCAGGGTGTATGAGGGTCCACTGGGACATCGGGGGGTAGTTAGGACGTTTCTGTGGGTACGCGTGCCGACAGGCTGGTCTCTCATGTGATGCGCCTACAATTCTCCCTCCTGGCACTGGGCCCAAGACTGGCCTGGCCAGGGTCGGCGTTGCTGCATCTGCTCGGCGCCCTCCGCTCCTGGGGGTACTCCTGGCCGTCGGAGCCGCCGCATATGGTCCTGCTGTACTCGGAGACCTTCTCCTTGTCGCCGCTCACGAGCGTGGGCGGATACCTGGGAGGCTTGCGGAAATGAGCTCCGACGCCAAGTGGGGTCGGAGCATCGGACCGCCTCGCCGATGCATCGGCGGTGACCGGCGCCGCCGGCGTGGAGAACCCCGGGCTCCACCGCGGGCCGCGCCGCCGACGCCTCGGCGACGGGGCGCGAGCCTCCGGACCCCCATCAGGCCGGACCCCGCGTGGCAGGCCTGTGGAGCACCGCTCGATCCCCCCGCAGACCGCACTCTCCCGCCTCTTGCTCCTGCAGGAGCAGCCCGCATCGGATCGGGAGGTCGGATGCGCAAAGGGGGCCGCATCGGCGTGGAGGCGAGCGCGGGTCGGATCGGCCGCGGCAGGACGCACGACAACGCCATGCAAGCACCCAGTCGCACCGGATCGCCAGAACACCGTGGCACGACGCAAGCGGGTCCTGGATCCTCTGAGCCTTCCCCGAAGACTAGCTTTTCGTCCAGAGCAGTTCTCCGGCAATCCAGGATCCGTTTACGGCGGAGAAGCCCCAGGAATGGGGGATCGCGGGGTGCAGGAAGAGCCTCCTTGGTTCCTCTGCGCCCACATGTCTGAAAGCCAACAGAGAACTGGTGCGCTTGAACCTGGGAGGAGGAGGAGGAGGAGGAGGAGGACTGTTTACCTCGATGCCCTCATCCCTGTCTGCACGATGGACGGGTACCTGGGTTCATGACCGCGCGTCTGGGTAGACAGTGTGGCGCCGTCAGAGACCGTCGCTGTCGTCGTCGCCGCCGCCGCCGCCGCCGCCGTCGTCGTCGTCGTCGCCGTCGCCGCCGCCGCCGTCCCCGCCGCCGCAGTCGTCGTCGTCGCCGTCGCCGCGTGCGTGTTTACATCGCATATGATGCAAACACCTGCCCACCGTAACGTAGTATGATGTTTTCACGCACGCACAATGCGAAATGTGTCTTGCTCAACGATCGATCATCTCCTGTTGAGGCCCGAGATACAAGTGAAACGATTGGAATCCACAATCCAGCTTTCGGGGTGACACGTGTCACCCATGTGCTTTGTTTAGATCATACACAAATGCTGCAGCAACAGATCACGACCGCAATCATGCCTTATGATGTACTCACGCGCGCGTGATGAGCAGCAACGGTCGTCGATGACGGCCGCCCACATTGATAACCAAAAACAGCCCTTTGGGAGGGGACCTAACTTAGGAGAGCCAGAAACATTAGGATATGGGGGTATGTTCTGCAGATGTACCGAGCCACACCGCCCAGACTGATTATCCCCGATGCGAAGACGGGGACCTCAGTGAGGCCACGGATTCATCGTGTTACTAGGGTTAGGGAGATCGGAACGGGATCCGATCGGGCCGACCGGGATGGGCATCAAATTTGGGCGCCGCTCCCGTGGCGGGCGCCGCAGTTCGGCGGGGCGGGGAACGTCGCCAGGGTCCTGGCCTCGTGCTCGCCGACCTGCAAGCAACAAACAACGGCACAAACATATAAACTTCCGGAGGTCCGCACGGATTCTGAAAAGTTATCAAACATATGCAATAGTGGTCAAGAATAGAAGAAAAATCGTCCCCTGACTTTTTTGTAGACTATTTTTAGGTATTCATCCTGTAGAGGGGTATGCCCGACTGAACCTTAGCGCTCTGCCTCGCTCTCTGGGCGCTGTGGGCACCGCCGTGCACGCCCTCGCGGCGCTCCGCACAGGCCACAAGCCGCAGTCCCGCGAACTTCTTGGGTCGGGAGGAGGAGGAGGAAAAGGGAGAGGAGGATGGGAGGGGGAGGAGGGGGAGGAGGAGGGGAGGAGTGGGAATAGGAGGAGGAGGAGGAGGAGGAGGAGGAGGAGGAGGAGGCGGCGCTGGACCCCCCTTCCCCCGGCGCGCGGAGCGCGCCAGGGGCGGCGCCTCAGGCTCCGCTGACGGTGCCCGGAACGCGCGCGGACCGCCGCGAACGCGCCAGAGGGTGGATCACAAAAGCACCCAAAAAACGGCAACACGTGGCAAGAAACCGGGCGGGTCTCAGAAGATTCATGGTGACCCTGCGCTGGAAGCGGCCGGGAGGTCTGCGCTGGAGAGGCCCCGAAACACTCGGCCAAAAAGGGGAGGGGGAGAAGAGCAGATGCGCTCAAAATCGGTCTCGGACCCCTCCCGAGGGCAGAACCGACCAATTTTCCGAGCCCTTGTCATGGGGAACCTCCTATCGTGACAAGAGAAGCGAAGCAGGTTGCACAGGAGGCTTATGGTGTGCTCACCTTTGTTTCGACTAACTCCCCAGAGCTTTGAGTTCTGTTGAAGTGTCTCACCGAGGTGGGAGCCTGGCTAGGTGTTTCTTCTTGCCTGAGGCAGTGCTTATGGCCGCCGAGGAATGGGCTCCTCCTCGTATGCTAAGCTCCTCGCCTCGCGCCACTTACAGCGGCCGTGGGGGGACGAGACGGCCCTTGAGTTCGACCTCTCCCGGTGGTGAGAGACATTGCCGGCAGTGGCACGATTTCATGTTCCTCATGCAGGGCCTGTGCACTTGCCCATGGGTTTTGGCCGGTCAAAACTGTACAACCATGGGAAGGGATGGTTATACAAGTGGTCCTTATCGTGATTCCCCGTGGCCCTAGCGGCCGTGTGGCGGGGCTTCTCTGGATCGGCGCCTTCAATCAAGCTGGACACGTTCGAGTGGCGTTGCGGCCGGCAGGCTGGACCCCACGGGGTCACCTCCTACCACCAGCATGGCCCCTGCGGGGGCGGGCGCGGGGCGTCGGGGGCTCCGAGCCTGCGCCCCGCTATCGCCGCCTTGCGGCCGCCGTGTTGTGCTTCGACCTCATCTCGTACAGCGTTTTGCTTCTACTTTTCTTGTGAAGCACGCTTTGTCTTCAACGTGAGGGACACGTTCCTCGTGGCCGTGATGGGTCGCAAACAATTTTTCGAGCCGCGTCCAGCCGTGGCAACAGGGAGGCCCCTTCTCCTGCTCGGCCACCCCACCTTCTGCCAGGCCACGTTAGCCCCCCAGCCAGCTCCAAGTCTTGCGCAAAGGGGCCCATGGACACGCACATGGCTGCCATATTTCCCAACATCTTCTGGGTTTTCGTCTGCCGCCCCACTTGCCGTACTTTCCCATATTTTCCTTCCTGGGAACCCCAGACCTCCGACGTCGCGAGAAACTCACGACAAAGGCTTCTTGGCAAGTTTCAGCCTCTGGAGGACCTCGCCGGGCCTCGGGAGCGTCCAAAAACGACTCGGGATGAGAAGCGGGTCCCAGGGAAGGTCTCCAGACTTCGGGGGGCCGACGTCGTGAGTTTCTCGCGACGCCGGGGGTCTGGGATCGACGATTCATGGCGTCTGTGCGTTTCTGCCCCCTCGCAGCCCTCCCGCCTCGCCACCGCGGTTGGCCACGGCCGCCCACCGCGCTCCGGCCCCTGCGCGCCTGCCTGCTGTTGCCCCCCCCCCCGGCTGCTCATCGTCGACCTCTTCGACGTCCGAGCGTCCCTTTTTTCTCTCGGACGCCCCCCCCCCCTCTCTTTTCGAGTCGGGCGCAAGGGGGGGATAGCAGAGGGGGGGGGTGATACTCAGCTCACGTAGCCGATTTTCCCCGCGCCTCCCGGCGCCGGAGGCGGCCATGTATCGAGCGAGGAAGGGGCCCCTCGGTGGGGCCGAAACCAGCTGCAGGCAGCAAATTTCGCACCCCCCCCTTTCCCAATCCCCCCCTTTCGTCCGGCCCTCCCTCTGCCCGCCGGCCAAGTCGCTGGTGAGCGCCCGTTCTAGCTTCTCGCTGGAGCGGAGTTCGCCGCCTCGCCGTCGGAGAAAGAAAAAGGAAGAGAGAGAAAGTGGTTGCCTTGAGTCGGGCCTGTCCCCCCAGGGGGATGTTCGATGAAAAACACAAAACAAAAATGCCCCCGACAAAAATCAAAAAATACTTAAACAAAAATCCCCTGATCATTTTTCTATTATGGTTTGACGATTGTTTGGCGTAGCTTCTATTGTTCGTCGAAAATCCCCGACTTAATGGTTACCCCCTCCTGATTCTTCACCGATAGCAATTCCGCATGACACCCCGACCCTCCGACGGCGGCACCAGCCGACCTCCCTGGCACGCGGGCGGGGCACCGAGACCCGGGGCGGGGGTGGGATTTCGAAGGGGGAGAAAAGAGGAGGAGGAGGAGGAGGAGGAGGAGGAGGAGGAGGAGGA